AAGGATTCCAGCAACCCCCCACCCCGGCACTTGGTTAATTTTTCAAAAACCAACCTCGCCAAAATTTTTCATACCCACCCATTTTTTTTTTTCTTTTTTTTTTCTCTTTCCACCCCAATTGGTTTTTTTTTTCATTGGTATTAATTTTCAAAATTATTTCATAGTTTTTTTATAATAATAAAATAATAATAAAATAATACATAATATAAAAATTTAATAATATTATATAATATTAGTTTCTTTAATCTTTATAACCACTCACCCAATCTATTGAATAAGATATTCATTTAAATTTAGATGCTACATATCAAATTGCTCAAACTTTAAATAATGACAAATATCCACCAAATATTAGGAAAGTTACCAAATTATATTCCATTTTATTTAATAGATTTTGTCAAAGAACAAACAAACCCTATCCCTTCAAAATCAGTAAGAATAAATTGATAAATTGATAAACAAATTAATAAAATAAATAACTTTTGCCAATCATAAAAAAACTATAAAAAATTATGTAATTTTAAAAATTGAGATTAAAGAGGCAAAAAAATCAAAAAAATTTTTGTGCGTATTATTTTTTTTTTTTTAAATGATATATTTTCAAAATCAGATTAAATATTATTTTTTAAGCAAATTACTAAAATAGGCACTAGCTGGTCATATTGTTTTTGTCATTTATTATAATTTTTCAAATATAAGAGAAATTAAATTTTGGACTATTTAAAATAATTTTCTTTTTATTTCCAACCATACCAAAATCCAACACTCTTTTTCCAATATAACCTTATGTACTTATTAAAAAAACCCTTTATAACAAAAAACACGTTGATAAAATGAAAAATAATCAAACCAAAATGAAATGAAATAATAATATTATTAATAATAATTTTTCCTATACAAAAAAAAAAAAAATTTAATAAAAAAATAAATTCAATAATAATGATTATATAAATTTAAATTGATTTGAATAAAATTTAATTTAAATTTTAGTTATCAAATATATTATAATAATTAATTTTTTTTTTTTTTTATTAAAAGTTTAAAATTTAAATTAACCAAATTTTTTTTTTTTTTTTTCAAAAGGTCAACATAGCACGATGGTTGTTTTTCAAACGCGTTATTAATTATTATTAATTTTTTTTTTTAAAATTTTAATTTTTTTTTTTATATTTTATTTATTTTTTAAATTTTTTTTTTTTTTAAAATATTTTAATTTTTTTTTTTTTTTGTTATATAACCTTTTTTTAATATTCGATATCGAAAATTAGTTTTATAAAACCTTTTTTTTATTTTTTTTATTTTTTTTTTTTATATTAATTATTTTATTTATTATATAATACATTAATACGTATTAATTAATAAAATACAATTAATATTATTTATCATCTAATTTTTTTTTTTTTTATTTATTTGCTTCACAACGAAAAAATAATTTAATAAAAATTAACCCCCCCCCACCCCACAATATTAAAATTTTTTAGACCGAAATATATACATAGCCTATATCGAAATTAATTAATAATTATCTATAGTTTTTATTTTACTATACACTTTTAATTGTTAATTATATATTGTATAATATTTTATTTATTAATAATATAGTAGTAATATATAGCCATAGAAAAAAATGACTAGTGATAAAATACATTCAAAAAAACCTGCTAGTATGTGTTAAATAAAAATAATAAAAAATAATAATAATAATAATAATAATAAATAATGGTAATTATAAAATATGTATTAACAAATATTTATTTATAAATTAAAATTTTACAGACACAGCATTTAAACAACAAAGATTAAAGGCATGGGAACCTATTTTAACACCAGGCCCAGTAATTCTTGCATTTATAGCAATCGGTATTGCATTTGTTATTGTTGGTGCATTTATGCTTAGAGCATCAAACCAAGTTATAGAATATACAGTTAGATATGACGATAATACAGATTGTAAAATCGATTCAGGAGTTCCTTGTAGAATAGATATCGATATTACTGAAGAAATGGAAGCACCAGTATATTTATATTATAGATTAGATAACTTTTATCAAAATCATCGTAGATATGTAAAATCAAGAAATGACGATCAATTAAAAGGTATTGTTGTTACCGATTTTAATAAATTGGATGCCTGTGAACCAATGATTACTGCTGATGGTAAAAAATCTAATATTTCACAAATTCTTGTTCCATGCGGTTTAATTGCTAATAGCATGTTCAATGGTATGTTTAAACATTAAAATATTTTTACTTTTTTTAAAAAAATAAACAAATATACTTATAACATCAATAATACCATTATTATAATTATTATAGATACAATCAAATTATATTCAGGTGCCGATCAAATCACCCTTAGAAAAAAAGGTATTGCCTGGAGTTCAGATGTTGAAAAGGTAAAAATACCCACCACCTATTTTGAAATAAGTAAAATTTTTTATTAACATTTTTTCTTTTTTTTTTAGAAATTTGGTGACTATCCAGTCGACGGTCCAGGTATTATTAACCCACAATTTAATGGTAAATTCTCAGATGAAGATTTCATTGTTTGGATGAGAACTGCTGCTTTACCAGATTTCAAAAAATTATATAGAATTTATGATGGTCCAGCTTCATTAAAAGGAAAAATCACTGTTGAAATTGATAATCGTAAGAAATCGACTATTTATTAATAATGTAATCAAGCCATAAAACTAATTAAATAATCTTTTTTTTTTTTTTTTTTTTTTACAGATTATCCAGTTGCTTCATTCGATGGTAAGAAGTATGTTGTTCTTTCAACTGCAAATTGGATCGGTGGTAAAAATCCATTCCTTGGTTATGCCTATATCATTGTAGGTTGTATTTGCTTTGTTCAAGGTATTGTTTTCTTAGTCAAACATTATGTCTCACCAAGAAAGATGGGTGATGTTAAATATTTAGATTGGAATAAATAAAAAAATACTAAAAATCATCATCATTACATAATATATCCAACATAAATTTAGCTTTTTTTATTTTACTTTATAAATTAAATCAATTATGAAAATAAAAAAAAAAAAAGTTGTAGTATTATTTTAACTTTTTTATAAAAATAGAGTTTCTTTTTTCTTTTTTTCTTTTTCATTTCATTTTTATTTTATTTTAATGAAAAATTAACACAGGACAAAAGGTTTGATTATTTAAAAATACCAAAAAAACACCCATTTTGATATTAATTTTATTTGAAAATATTTTTATTAAAAAAAAAATCATTATAAAAATAAAAAAAACTAAAAAAAATCAAAATTTTTTTTTGGTTTAATTTTTTTTTTTTTAATATTATAAAAACATATTATTATTATTATTATTCATTTTCATTATCTATTTATAAATATATAAAATGTGTATGTATTAAAAAAAATAAAAAAATATTTTTATATTTAATTAATAAATTTTATTTTAATTTTAAAAGCAACAGAAGAAAAAAAAAATGTATCTTGTACCACTTGTACTAAAAGTATTAATGGTGAAATGATTGAAGCATTGGGTGGAGCCTTCCATAAAGATTGTTTTCAATGTAATGTTTGCAAAAATCGTAAGTAAAACAGATAAAATTGGTAATAATAGCTTTTCAATTGTTATATGTGTAAATATTAACACAAAGTTATTTTTCAGCACTCACTACCTTTTTTGTTTTAGATGGCAAACCAGTTTGCAAGGATCACTATACAACAGGATTTAATTGTCATAGATGTCAAAAATCAATTTCAGGTGCAAAATTAACAGATCAAGGTGGTAGTAATTATCATCCAGAATGTTTTAAATGTAGTTATGAAACATGTGGTGAACCTCTTAATGGTGCATATTATATTAGAAATGAAAATCCATATTGCGCAAAATGTAATGATATTTTAAAGGAGCTCGCTAAAAAAGAAAATATTAGAGAGCTTGGTAATTGTTATCAATGTAAAAAAACTATTTTTTCAAATACACCAATGGTTGTTGTTGGACCAGAGCAAAGATTCCATAAGTCATGTTTAAGATGCACTAAATGTAGACAAGGTTAGTTATCTTTTTTTGATATTATAAAATAATCAATCATTTTTATTAATTTTTTTTATTAATTTCTTTTAAATAGAAATCGAAGGTCAATTTACAACCAACTTTACAGATAGTAAGTTTACTTCATTAATAGAAATTTTTCAATTTATTTGTTTACAAATTTATTAACACCAAATATTTTATTTTTAAATTAGAAAATTTTATTTGTATGAAGTGCAGCAGCTATTAAAGTAATATAGTATAGTTTTTACAAAGTGTAGATAAATAAAAAATTAATAAAGAAAAGAAGGTTTTTAAATTCGAAATAATGTATTTGGTTTGAAGGATTTATTACAAATTTTAAAAAGAAATAAAACAAATTTTATTAAAATTATTTTTAGTTTTTATTTTTATAAAAAAAAAAAAAAAAAGAAAAAAGAAAAAGAAACTATGTGGATTCATTATTATTTTTTTATGAATAGGTTTTATTATTGTATATTTTAAATAATCTTTCACTTATATCGGAACCAAATTTTCTATTGTTTTTCCCAAATTCAAAATCCTTAAAGAAATTAGAGGCAGTTTTATCATCACCTTTAAATCTTTTTAAAGCTATATAAAGAGAATAGGGGGTTGGATAATGGTCTACAATAGTACGAGCTTTTTCAGGTGAGATACCAGGAATTTGCATTAGTTGAATGGCAAAGAACTCGAGGAGCATTAACCCTTTGGATTTTACGTTTGATTGGTTAAAAGTGTCTACAGAGCATTGAATGATTTCACCCTTATAAATAAACTTTTTCAATGTTTCCAAATGACTAGGATTTGAAGTTGATAGGAACGAAGGTTTGCAAAGTTTATCTTTAAAATATTCTGTTGTAAATGTAATGTATTCAATGGTTTCTTCGAGTGAAATGGTTTGCTTAATTGTAATGTCATCGTTGATCTGTGTGCTTACAAGTGCGCTAGCAAGAGCATCTGGAGAGAGACCAAAATTGACGGAGCCCCATTTCTTATATTGTTGCGATGCCATAATGTTATTTGAAAGTACACCTTCAACTAAATAAATAATATTGTTACAACCTGTTTTTTTTAATCTAAATTTCTGTTCTTTGTATCTGCCATCCATTATACTGCTACTAAGATCGTCAATTCTTTTTCTTTCCATAATATAGTCTAATAACCACTCTTCACCTTTTTCATCGATTGCTACCCAAATAAAGTCACCTAGTTCTAGTTTTTTAATTTCTGCATTTATACCATTATTTTTTAATTTATTTACAATGTAATCTCTTTCTGTAACTGATTTAACTTCACGATTATCAATAAAACATTTAATTTCTTTAAAATTTATAATTTTTTTGCTACTATTATTTGTTGTAGTTGTGGTTGTTGTAGTTGTGGTTGTTATAGTTGTTGAGTTGGATGTTGACTTATTATCAATATCTGAACCAATATTAACTTTTAATAAATCTTCTTCTGTAAATGAGAGTCTAATTGGTTTTATTAATTGTTTTTTATTATTGTTTATATTATTATTTATTATGTTTATTGTATTTATATCATTTTCATCTTCAGAAAAAATGTAGCTGTTTTTTGATTGTATTGGGGTGCTTTGGATTGATACACTTTCTTTATCTGGCTTGGATTTTACTGGTGTTGATCTTAAAATTCTTTTTGGTGAGAATGCCAGACTCATCATATGATTATATTTTGATGGTGATTTCGCAGTTGATGGGGAGGTTAATTCGTGTTTTCTCTTTTTATTTTTTAATGGTGTGGTAAACTTAACAGGCGATATTGGTGAAAATATTATACTATCATTAAACTTATTGCTATTATATGGTGATTTAATTGGTGTTATTTGATGTTTATTAAATTTTAATGGTGTATTGTTGGGTTTATTATTATTGTTGCTATTGTTAGAAGTGCTATTACTACTATCAATAAAATTATTATTATTTACATTGTTTAAATCGAATGAACCAAAATCAAAATTAAAAGATTCATTAAAAGATTCATTTATAGTTGGGTTTATATCATTGGTTAATTGCAAAATATCATCATCTACTATTTCAATAAAGTTATTGGGTTTTGATGTTGATGTTGTTTTTGTTGATTTTGCCCTTGATCTTGAAGGTTTGGGTTTATCTATATTTTCTTTATCATCTTTGGTTTTTGTTTTTCTTTGTCTTTTCTTTGGTGATTTATTTTCATCATTATTATCTATTTCTATATTTGAAGTTCTACTATAAATTATTTTTAGTGGTGTTGGAGGTCCTTTGGGATATAGTGGATGGGATTTAGTTTTAAGAAACTGATCAACTTTTTTTGAAAGGGTTGGTCCAAAACCACTTAGGGCTTCGCATTCTTTTCCATTAAAAATTGGGAGTGGATAGAGTGTTAATGAATGTATTGCTTTTTTATAAATTGATGTTTTTTTAAGATCTGCACCTGGTCTACTCTTTATAAAATCGATTTGTTGTTGTAAAAATTCTATTATATGTGGATTTGCAGATTGGATACTATTATTATTATTATTATTATTATTATTACTATTATTGATTGGTTTAGATGACATTGTTTTGATTTTGAAAATTTATGTATTTAAACTTAATTAATGCATTTCTTTTCACTAAATTATAACAATAATTAAAAAAGTTTTTTTACCTCTTTTTTTTAAAAAAAAATTCAAAAAATAAATGAAAAAAAAAAAATTAATTTAAAAATAAATAAAAAAAAATAAAATGGAAGAAATAAAGATATTTTTTAAAAAAATATAAAGCATGTTTTAATTTATTTACAAAAAAAAGAGAAAATAAAATATTTATGAAACTATTCTATTTCTAAATTTATTGGTTTTTTTTTTTTTTTATAATTTTTTTTTTTTTTTTGGAATAACAAAATTGTTTTCTAAAAGATAATTCCAGAGTCGGATAATCTACCTGGATACTTATCAACCTTTTGATTTAAAAGGACTGAATCTCTTTTCTTATTTTTATGTTGTTTTTTTAATTTTGGTTTTTCATTTTTACTCTAAATAATAAATTAAATATTAATATTAATAAAGTTAAAAAAAATATTAATTATACATTTATTACCTTTTCAACTTCAACACGTTCTTTTTCGTATCTTCTTACATAGTCATCTTCTAATGCCATTTCCCTTTCTCTGATTTTATCATCGACATTTCTTCTCATGAATGGTACTCTGCTACATTGAGGAAGAACAGTTCTTCTTTGAACTAATGATGACATTCTAACTAATCTATTCATTTTGTTTGAAAGAATTTATTATATTTTTTATTTGATATGTATATTTTATTAATAATAATATTTATTTATAAATGGTTTTTTTTTTTTTAAACCTTTTCTTTTTTTTTCTTATTTTTTTTTTTTTTTTTTTTTTAAATTTAAAAAAACTATAAAAATTAAAAAAATAAAAAATTAAATTTTTTTTATTTGATTTCCTTTTATGGGCAAAAAAATTAAACAAAATATATTTTAATTTTGATTTTATACTATTTTAGAAATTTTCTTTTTTTTTTTTTTTTTTATCTATAATTTAGATTTATTTATAATTTAAATTTAATTTAATTATTATTTTTATAATTATTAGTTCAAAATAAATTTTTATTATTATAATCTGTTTATTTATTATGAAAAAATAACCAATATTTATTTCAAATAAATTATGAGTATTCGAAAAAAGTAGTTTAGTATACATAGAAAGAAAAAAAAAATTAATATAAATAATAGAAAATAATAAATTGTAGTTTTATATTTTAAAATTAAAAAAATAATTTTTTTAATATTTATTTAATTGTTTATGGATCTCTCTTTAATACAACCCAAAGAGCGTGAATTACACCTGGAATCCAACCTAAAATCCAAAGGACGATATTAACCCAAAATACTAATGCGCAACCTCTTCTTATAAATACTGCAAGAGGAGGGATAATTATACACAAAATAATCATACCTATAATACATTATAATATTTATAATAATATTGTTAATTTAACTATAGTTTTTATTATATTGTATTTTTATATATATTTATTAAAATACTAACCAACTTTTTTTGATCCTTCTGACATTTTTTTTAGTATATGTAAAAATTATTTCAAAAACTTTTGAAAAAATAACTATTAAACACAAATTTATGAATTGAAAAAAAAAAAAAAAAAAAAAGATTAGAAATATTTATATTTTTGAAATTACTGTAAAATAATAATTAAATTAAATTAAATAAACAATTTTATTTGTAAATTATTTTGTTCATTTTCTTTTTTAATAAATTTTTAATTATTATAATATTATTATGGGCTGGTGTGTGAGTTATCTATATTAATAAATGTGCATTGAATATATCAATTCATTGTAAATGGTAGATAGAAAAAGCAGTGTGTAGGTGGGTGGGGTTGGTGTTCAAAAAAAATACTAAAAAAAATTAAATAAAATAAATAATAAAATAAATTAAAAAAAAAAAAAAAAAAGAAAAAAAATTTAACCACACCACCAAAAAAGAAATAAAAAATGATAGAATTATAAAAGGAATAGTATTTTTATTCATTTTTTATATGTTCAATATTTTCGAAATTATTTAACCCATCAAATTTTGTAATTTCAACTTTTTTTATTTTTTTTATTTCCAAATTTGGAAATATAATTTTTGTTTATTTAATATACAAAAGAGATAATAAATTAAAAAAAGATTAAATAAATAAATAAAAAATAAATAGGTAAATAAATATCTATAATTCAAATTATTCTTAGTTTTTTAGTATTTTTCTTAATTATTTTTAAAATTTTTTTAAATGATTTTAATATAAATTATTTTTTTTTTGATGATTTTTTAAATATTTATAAATTTTTTTTTTTTTTTTTTTTTTAATTTTATATTAAAATGGATCTTTTTTTAATTTGTTTTAGAAATTTATATATTAGAAATTATATAATAAAATATTTAAGATTGTATAATAACACTTATAGATATAGTTATTTAGCAAATTTCAAATACCCAAATCAATTAAATACTCTTGATCCATTTAGCGAATATATAACACATTTAAATTTGGTTTCAATATTTGATCCAAAGGGCCTAAGTCTAAAAAGTATCAAGTATACTTTCCCAAATTTAGAACATTTGCTATTACCTAGTATTTTTAATGATGTTATAAAGGTTCAAGATTTTGGTAATAGATTAAAGTCGATAGTGTTTGGCGACGATTTTAATAATGAGTCATTCTCATCAACAGGCAATGAAAATAATGGGTTGGTTTTACCGATGGGTTTAGAGAAAGTAGAATTTGGGTTTAAATTTAACAAAGAAATTAGCAAAGGAACACTACCATCTAGTTTAAAGTCCTTGGTATTTGGATACAGTTGGAATTTAGCTTTAGATAAATTAAATATTCCGGATCAATTAGAGATTTTAAAGTTTGGAAGAGGCTTTGAAAGAAAGTTGGGCGGAGTAAAACTACCATCAGGTTTAAAATCATTGGTCATAAAGTCAAATGTTGTCATTCATGAAAATGTGCTCCCAATCGGTTTAAAAGAATTAAGGTTACTAGATAAATACAACTCTCCATTTAAAACTGCCAATGTAATACCATCAACGCTAGAGTACCTTGAGGTTGGAAACTCCTTCAACCAAGATTTAAGCATTGCATTATCCTCTTTAAAGTCCTTGAGGGTATTGAGGCTTGGCGACGAGTATAATATCAAGCTTCGAAAAGGTTCGCTTCCGCCATCGTTGACCAATATCGAGTTTGGTAATTATGTGCACTTATTGGAGCCAGGTGTTATTCCACATTCAGTTACTGATATTACCTTTAAAGACTCTTTTTCAGATAAAAGGTTATTGTCCATTTTAGTGCCTGGAAGTTTACCACCGGTCGTCGAGTTTAAAATGGGTCACTACTTTAACATACCTATTGCACCATCTGTATTGCCATCAACGATCAAATCATTGAATTTCAGCGACAATTTTAAAACAAAGCTTGAAGATTATTCGATTCCATCATCAGTAGAAAAACTCGTAGTCAATAATGGCGCATGCTTAAACCACTCCACTCTTAATCATAACACCAACTTAAAATATCTGGATATTCAATATTTAACATTCAATAACGGTGATGAATTCCAAATTCCAAATATAAATAGTGACAGTTTAAAAATATTTAAATCTAACATCCCTTTAAAAAGAATGGTACCAGATAGTGTAGAGGAACTAACAACAAAAATACCAATTAATGTAAATTTATTCCCTCAAAACTCACTAAAAAAATTAATAATACATGGCATTGTGTCTGTAAAAGGATCATTTAAAACCAACGATAATCTCGATTTAAAGATCAACCAACTACCACCAACCATCGAACATCTAGAGCTCATAGATACAAAGGTAACCATTAAAAACTTTAAAATGGTCCATTTCAAATCATTAGAAAGATTAGAAACGCTGGTAATCAAGCAAGCAATCATCGTAAATGTGTCTGAGCAGCTATTGCCCAACTCAATAAAAACTTTAAGGCTAGTAGAAATTAATGGTTTAAAGAATATAGATCTATCAAGTTTTACAAATTTACAATGCTTAGAAATTACCTCACCCTATTTCAACATTATTTTCGATTTTGTAGTCAACAATATTCATGCACTAGAATCAATAAGTTTACCAAATCAACTAAATGAATTAATTCTAAATGTAAATACATACCCTAAACAAATAGATGAGGAAAAATCTACATATTTGGATTGGGACTATAAAATACATAAAAAGGAATATGTATTTTCACCATTAATAACAGCTTTACCAGAATCATTAAAATCGCTGTATTACAACTCTATTTATAATATAATCAACGAGGATCAACCTCTTCCTCCATCAATCAAAGATTTAAAATTACACAGCAGATTCACACAAAATAAAAAGATTAATCTATTATTAAATTTTTTACCCCAAAATTTAGATACCTTATGTCTATTTTATTTATATAATTTAGATTTTAATTTATCAAAAAAATTAAAATTAGAAAATTATATTTTAAATTTTGATTCTGGGGAATAAATAAATAAATAAATCAATAAAAAAAATACTTTTTTTTAAGCAACCTTTATTTTATCAATTACTTTTTTTTTTTTATTTTTTTTAAATTTTGCGAAATTAAATGTAATAATGATAATAATTTTATTTTAAAATTAAATAAAATTTAGCATGTTTCCTTTTAATAAACTAAGCGATCCATTTGACTATCAAAATGATTTAGAATAGTGGCGATGAACTAAAGGTTTAGTTTAGATTGGTTTAAAGGTGGAATGCTGAATGCCCATTAATGTTCAAATTATTTGCTCGAATTATTATTTTTGTTCGAAATATTGCTTGAATGATTAATATTGTTAGAATTGTTACTCGAACTTTTTTTGTTCAAATTGTTATTGTTATAATTATTATTGTTTGGGTATATTTCATAAAATTGCAAACTTTTGTGTGACATGAATCAAAAGAATTTTTCGTAATTATATTTTTTCTTCAAGTTGCATGTATCATTATCAACTACACTTTTTTCCTTTTTCATTACACACTGTTTAAAATTTTTTAATTTTTTTAAACAGTGTTAAATTTACTTTTTTTTTTAATTTTCTTTCATAGTATTTTGAAAAAGTTTTTTTTTTTTATTTTTTTTTTTTATTATTTTATATACATACAAATAATCATACATTTTTATTTTTTCATTATAATATTCGGCACATATAATAATTTTTAATAATAGCAATAATAATTTTTTATATTTTTAAAATAATTTACAACTTAATTAATATTTAAAAATGGATTTATTATTGTTTTTTACTTTTTATGTGGTATCACCAGTTTCTCATTAGCATTTTTTATTAATAACAAAAAATACAATAACTATAATAATAACTAAATAAATATAATTTATTAATATTTAAAATAAATATTAATAAATTATATTTATTTTAAATATTTAGATTAATTTTTTTATTTTTTGTTTTTTTATTTTTTTTTTTAAATTATTTATTTACAAGTTTTTACAGGTTGGCTTAAAGCAATACGAGATGATGGAGGTTTAACAACATCATATTCACCCATAAGAGCAACTTAGAAAAGAAAGAAAAAGTTTCGAATGACATTTTTCAATTGAAAATTTCATTAAGTTTAACATCTTCTGATTCATCGGGTATTCATAGACTACCTAAAAATAATAAAAATAAAAGGTTATGTATTAAAAAAATATTTATTTATAATTACCTTTAATTAGAGGATATTTAATGAGGATCACTTTTTTCTTTTTATTTTAAAAATTTTAAATAAAGATTTAAAAAAATTAAATAAAAATTTTTTTTTTAATTTTTTTTTTTAAATTATTTAATCACAATCAATAATTAAAAAAATAGTTTTATAAATGGATAATATAATTGATATATTGGATAATAATATTTCAAAAAACAATAGTATTAATATTCAAAAAAATAATCATAATAATTATAGCACTATTAGTAGTGAAAATAGTAAAAATATTTCAAATGATATACTATTTTTTAAATTAATAAGAAATAAATATATATTTAATATCATTTTAAAATATTTAAGAATCTTTACAAATATTTATATTTTCAGTAAAAATATAAAGTTTAAAAATGTTTCAATTTTTTTAAAGCAAGAATTAAAGAGTTTTGTTACATTTTTAAATTTATCGGTAGTTGAAGCAAAGAATGAAAAAATTCAATTAAAAGTAATCAAGGAGTCATTTCCATTTCTCAACGAATTAATACTACCCTATTATTTTAATAATCAAATTGTATGTGATGATTTTGGTCCAAATTTAAAGAAAATATCATTTGGCGCAAGTTTTAATAACAACTCTTTTAGTTTTGATGTATGTGGTGGGCAAAATGTTTTACCAGAGGGTCTAGAATATATATCATTTGGTTTAAGATTTAATGGAGAGATTTGTAAAGGCTCATTACCCAGTAAGTAATATCAATAGTTTTTTATATATTCTCGAAATTATTTTTAATAATAAAACCCAAAAAAAAGAAAGTTTAAAAACATTTAAATTAGGGTGTTCATGGAATTTAGATTTAAAATTTTTACAATTACCAGATGGTTTAGAAAATTTATGTTTGGGTTTTAGTTTAAAGAAGGATTTGGAGGAAACAGAAGAGTTTAAATTACCATCAAGTTTAATATCGTTAGAAATAATGTCAAGTATCCCAATTCATCAAGGTGTATTACCTATAGGGTTAAAAAAACTATGTTTAAATAATTACCTTTTGCCCTTAGATGACATATTACCCCCAAATTTAGAGCATTTGAAGTTTTGTAGTGATTTTAATCAAAACCTACCAATTCTTCCATCATCACTCAAGATTTTAAAACTTGGCCACTCATTTAAGAAAAAGTTAAATATTGGATCTCTTCCTTATGGTTTAACATATCTATCAATGAGTAGCTACGAATTCCAAATTGAACCTGGACTTTTACCAAACTCGTTAACAATGTTAAAAATGGATACAGAGCTGTTCTCGTCATGTAACCACAATATCTTAATTCCAGGTTCACTACCTTCATCTTTAAAATTTTTTAAAATACCAGCTTTTTTCAATTACATAATACCCCCAAATGTATTGCCCCCATCAATCAAATCTTTAAGTTTTTATGAAGGTTATAATCAAAAAATTTCAAAAAATTCCATTCCAAACACAGTAGAAAAACTTTCAATCAATGACTCCAGCTGCTTAGAAAAAGATTTCTTTGAAACTTTTAATCAATTTAACAATTTAAAAAAATTGAAAATTATTTTTAAAAACAACTTCAGACAAGTAATATTCCCAAACAATATTGAAATTTTAAAAACCAATTTTGATTTACAGCAACCTTTACCAAATAGTATAAAAGAATTATCAATTAAACTACCAAACCTTCAAAAACAACTCTCATTCTTTCCACAATCATTAAAAAAGTTACAGATAGTGGGCCGTTTGTCTTTAAATTTTAAAATTACACTACCACCAACTTTGGAATTTTTAGAAATTGAAAAAGTTCCATTAAATTATATAAAACTCAAGGAACTTAAAAATTTGGATACGTTAATAGTAAAGAACTCATCTTTTGAAAGAGACAAAGAAGTTATCAATTATAATAGTAACAATTTAAACAATAATATCAATAGTAAAAATATTAATAGTTTTAATAATAAAACACCCATCAATTTAAAATTACCAAATAGCTTAAAAACATTAAGACTAATTAGGGTTTTTGTAGGACATTATAAAGAAAACTTTATAGATTTATCAAAATATGAATCAATCAAAACTTTAGAATTTCAAATGATGCCATTAGAAAATGCAATTTTCCCAAAGAATGTTGAAGAGCTAATACTACAAGAAAATATGGAATTCAAACTAGATGATTCAAATGTTCCAAACTCAATAAAAAAACTATCCTTCAACTCATCTTTTAAATGTTTAGCAAAAGAATCAATTTTTTTATCCTCAATTATAGAACTGTCAGTAAACAACTTATTTTATATCCCACCCGAATATTTTGATAAACTTTCATCACTAGAGGTTTTAAATGTTAAATATCCTAATTCAAAAGAATCGTTCGACTATAATTTTTTCCCAAAGCAATTAGATTTAAAGAGATTTAGATTAAATTTTTTAACTCCAGAGATAAATTAATAAAGATTAATAAATCTATAAAAAAAGAAAAAGTTTTTTTTTTTTTAAATAAAATTATAAAATTATAAATTTATAATTTATAAATTTTTTTTTATTTGTTTATTTAATTAATTTCACCATGTTTATTTATTAATGGGTCAAATTCATCTTCGCCATCATTAATTGATTTAACTAAAACTTTGTTTTGACGAGTTTTAACTTTGGTTGTGGATGGATTTGTTGTTTGAATACCTTTGTTATAAATTTTTTGATTGATGTGACCAATACAAATACCAATCGGAACGAGAGCAATAACACCGGATAATGATAAAATAACACCACTAAAAACATCTATACTTGTTAAAGCCCTAGTATTTATAATTAAACCTACTAATGTTATGACGAGTGATAAATATGACTCTAGTTCGTTCTTGTATTGAGATCTATAAGGTTTGCACATCCATGTAACAAAAGTAAAGAAAAGTCCCATTGTAGAAATAACTAAACCTTTAATATCGATATAAGAGAATGCAAAGGCAAAGGTAACTATAATGTACAATACTGATCTGACCATTAATAAAATATCCCACCATATAAAGTTCGACCTATATTTTTCGAAAAATATTTTTGTAAAGTAACGATTCTTTCTACGGATTTGAATGAAAATGTATAACGGTACACCAATTGTGACTAGAACTAATATTATACAAGCAAAAATAAACAGTGGAAGATGTTTTGAAGTGAAGCATTCGACAGATGGATCTAGACTAAGGTATGAACTGCTTCCTATTTTTGTGCAACTGACCAAGCTAAGTGAAATATATGTGATTGGTGTATAGAGCGTGACGAGCATACTTATTAGAGAGTAAACTAAATTTTTATCGAATATTTCAGTTATAAAAACATTGAATCTTGGTAAAATTCTAGCCATTAGTTTTTTACCCCATGTAAATTTAGTTGAGATTGGAATAACTATTAAAAAGATGATACAATATGAAATTACTTGTTTCCAAAGGAATGTAACTGTTGGGTCTAAACAAGCTGAGGGCCAATAATCTAAACTAAAGGTAAAAAGTGGTATAATGGAAAGGTATTGAATATTGTATCCCATTACTGCAATAATTTGAACTACTAAGAGATAATTTAAAATGATTGATGTTGAAGGCACAGTGAAAATGCTAAGGAATAAAACTAAAATAATGTAGAATAAAATCATACCCAATAATAAATAGACATTAAATCCTTCACACTTTTCACAATACATTTTGACTTTTGAATAACCAGGTTCGCAGACTGAACATAAAACACCACCTTGACCAGTTCTGCATTGTCTATTTTGGCAATAAGCGGGGTCACATGCAAATATATCTGGTTTTTTATCTTGTTCTAAAAGGATCCAATAACCCTGTTGTGGATACATGACATCTTTACCTGGGCAAATAACCTTTGTAGGATCGCAACTATAGCAATTGGAACCATCATAACCATAAGTGCCAATTTGGCATGGTAAGCAATAGTTACTTGAATTTGGTGAGAACCCAATTGAACAACCTGTAAATGGTATTTCAAATGCATCGGTTAATATTACTTGATCGCCATCTGTCTCTGGGAACCAAGCTAATGCGGAAAATCTAACAATTTGACCAATACTATGATTAAAAGCTAATCCTGGTAATAAAATTGAACCTTGGTATACTTGTGTTGAAAAACTTTGAACAACTATATTATTAATTGTTATATTAACAATATAGCTTACTTGGAAATCTAAAAAAGTCATACTTTGATTATAATAGTCAAAGAGTGTGATACCTAAAGTAAAATTTGTATTTGGATGAATGGAAAAACTTTGACTTTGAATTTTTAATTTTGCTGGAAAAGATGCAAAATTATCTCCATAGATCGCACTATTTAATAAAAATTTTGTTTGGCTATCAGTAAAACAACCTTCATATACGGTAGAATAGCACACACCACCAGCACCAAATTCAACAGTATTTGAATAAACATAGGAATTTTTGAAAAACATTATATTACCCTGGCCATAAAGAAAAGCAACACCACCAAAGTTAGATGCTGAATTTAAATTAAAAGATGAGTTTGAAGCAACTACCGATGAATTTTCTTGTAATGTAAATACACCTCCAGAACCTTGTAGTCCTACCTCGCCCAAACCGACAAATGAAATTGTATTTAGAAAAAATGAGCATCCTGAAAATTCTAATGAGGCAGAGTTGAGGAAACCAACAGCACCATACTGTGCAGTATTATTACTAAATTTTGAATCTATAAAAGTATCGGTACCAACATTATTAAAAATTGAAAAACAAGATCCACCTCTTTCATTGGAATTTTCAATACAAGTTGAGTTTTGCATATTTAGAGAACTACCTGTTGTTTCAATAACTGAGCCATTGGTTAAAATATTTCCAAAAAAACTAGACCCGGTGATATTTAAGTTTGAATTGGTCAATTCAAATAAAGCCTCTGAGCAAGAATTATCCTGAAACAATGAATTTAAAATGTTTGAATTAGACCCAGTAATATCAAAAAGAGGATTGGATAAAGAGTTAAGACCACCTGTAAAATTTTCAATATTTAAATTGCTGTTTGCTACCATAATATTACCAGAATTATCGATAAAGTTAATGTTGAAAAACGAAGCTTTAGATGCAAACATATTTACAAGACCTCCTTGAATAAAATTGAATGTAAAGTTGGTATTTTCCATTATAAAATTTGAATTTCTAATCTGAATGCCATCGGATTTCGATTGACAGGTTTGCACTTTTGAATTATTCAAAAGTAATAGATTTTGATCCACACTACTAAAGAGACTAACTTCAATACTTGCTTGGTAATAAAATGTACAATTGTCAAAGACCGTTATATTCTTAATAAAGGTTGCCATGTTAAACGCTGCTGTGTTTGAATCGAAAGTGCAATTACTAAACAATAAGTTTGAATTTGTGTATAAACCCAATGTATTGTTGTAAGATGAAATTTTATTGAAATTACAATTGTAATGCTTGACATTAGAAAGATCAATAACAATACCTATATGTGGATTTGTATTTGACGTTGTTACTCTCTTGAAGATACCTGTTGATTTATAGATGTAATAAGATTTTTGCGATACAGTAATAATATTGTCAAAATCTGTATTGTTAATTTGAAACGTTGTATTTGACATGAAAAAATATTGAGTATTGTTGAAGAAATAGCATCTCTCTAACTCTAATTGTGAGTTTATTGAATGAATTGGGTAGCTTTGACCTAAAAAGTTATTTATAAATTTCGATTTGATGATATGGAGTTTGGAAAACTGAATACCGATAATATTACCCAATTGTTGACCTGAAAATACTGAAGAGGACAAGAGGACATTTTCCGAGTTAATAATTTTAATAATTTCGAAATTAAAACCATCTGAAACATTAAGATATCTAATACTTGATGGCTCCATATCTACCATATATATTAAAGGCATATTTGTGCTTGTGTCAAAGTTTTGGTTGCCTATAAAAGATACATTTGAAATTTCTAATTTTGATTTTGATATTGAAAGAAACTGAATATTATTCCATTCCATAATTGTATTATAGATATAAGTATTTGCATTTGAAACAAGAAGAGAAACCAAGTTGGAGTTATTTGAGAATATAGAATTGGTTAATGTGAAATTATAAACCTGATTAGCATAGACCAAAGTTGTTGGATTAAAAGTATAAGTTATATTATCCATCAATAAATTTTCTGTTCTATTAGCTTGAATATATGGGTGTGAATCATCTTGAGACCCATAAAATATCATATCTCTAATAACTAGATTTTTTGAATCTTCCACATTGAGGAATTCGTTTTGGAAATAGGTGTATAAATATATAGTGAAATCTTTTATCAATATATGTTCAACCTCGATTATCATTATGGAAAGTGCTTGGTAGGTGGCGGAAATATTGGAAATTGAAAAACTATATCCTCCACCGACAGTCATGGTTGGAACATTGCCTGTTGATGATAGATTACTGAAAAAATCTATTGAATCAATTTCTATAACCTTAAAAGCGGTCGAAACTACAAGTTGGAAATCATTTGGGTGGGTAGAAAGAACTTTGGAATTGGAAAAATACAAAGATGATTGAAATTGATCAATAGTAATTAAGCTACTAACTACATCATCAAAATAAACACCTTGGATAGTTGTATTAATCCCTAAACTTACTATACAATAGGTATAGCATCCATTTATATAACTATCTACAAGAGAAAAATTTGAAAGTATACTAATCTGGAAAGCAGGAACTAAATAGTATTGTGTTGTTCTCTCCAATTGAAAATTACAATTAAGAATTTGAAGACTTGAATTTTGACAAACTGAAAATGCCCTAGATGGTAACCTTTGAACCATATTAATATTGCTCAATGTAACCAGAGGTGAATTTACTAAAAAGATTTGGTTTTGGAAATCATTGGTATAAATAGTGGCATTTTGGTCAGTTGGTTTCAATCCAAGGCTCTTTCCATTAAAATCAACATAGTAAGTTTGATTCCAATAAAATTTTTCAATATAATTAATTCCTAATAAATAAATATTTCTTCCATCTTGAATTGAATAAATTGCCCTTTGGATCGAACAAAAAGTATTTGCTAAAGTACCATTACCAGAAAAATCACTACCATTATTTGAGACATATATATCATTATCTATATTTTAATTAAAATTTATTAATATTTATTTTTATGCATATTTTTTAAAAATATGTGTATTTACCAATTAGTTGACTCGGTATAGGAGCGAAATTTATATAATCCACTATTATTGTTTGAAATATATTAAGTTTTATAAAATAACCAGTATCAGTATATTTTAAAGTTATTTCATGTTGGCCACCATCACAAAATTTTGTAATATCCACAGTTGCTTTTTGGTATGGGGTTGGAGATTGTGAATAATCTGTTGTACTAATATTTAATACTAAGTTATTATCAATATAAACACTGAGATAATTTGGTATTAAATTTTCATTACTATTTTCGTTAAAATTAAAATTATAATTGTACTTGTCTATATTATTATTTATATTATTATTATTATTATTATTATTTTCTATATTCATTAGATCCAACTTTGAATATTTAAAATGTTTTTGATTCGAAAAACCAGGTTTATCTTGTGACCCTGTTGATAATGATCCTGAGCCTGTAGTTTCTATACTTGAACCACCAGAAGTACCTGTAGTACTCGTATGACCAGTCAGCAATGATTCACTTGTGGTATAATAACTTTCAGATGATAACGAGCCAGACTCGCTGCTGGAAGATTCAAATGTATATAAATAATAAAAACTTAGATTGAAGGTAGGGAATAAATCGGTAACTCTTGGTTCCATAAAATTTGGAAATTGTAAAGCGACACTTGTAATACTTTCTGTGCTCTCGGAAAACATAAGACATACAGTACCTTCATAGCAATCTTCTGAATTAATAAACATTGTTTCGTTTGTGGCTTGCCAACCAGTAGAATAATTTGTTTGATCTTCAAACCCTTGGTTTATTATTTGTACAAAAAAATCTGAATCTAATTGATCACAAAAATTGATATCATCGCCGGAACTGCTGTCATCGCTATTTATTATAAAATTATTTTCTTCATCTTTTATTACACTTGAACCATTTATACAATTTATTATTATAAAAAATATTAAAAGTAATGATATGTATATATTATTTTTATTATTACAATTGATTTTATTATTATGATTAATCATTTTAAAATTTTAAAAAAAAATGAAATTTGAAAAGAAATAATTTTTTATTTCCTTTATTTATAATAATTAACTATGCATTGGGATATGTGAATTTTATTGATAAAATTACACAATATCTTATTTAGTTGGTTTATTGCCCTAAAATGAATTGATTAAAAAAAAATTTTAAAAAATTTTTGAATTTTTAAAAAAAAAAAAAAAAAAAAAAAAAAAAAGATATTTTATCTCCATTACTTCGTTTTTTTTTTATTAAAATTTTTTTTTTTTTTTTTTTTTTTTTTTTTTAATTTTAAAAAAATTATATTTTTTATTTATTTTATTTCCTTTTATCAAAAATTAAAGTAAAATTTTTTTTTTTATAACTTTAAAAGAAATAATGTTTTAATTTTGGAAATTAAATTCAACTTTTATTTTCAGGTTTTTTTTTTTTCAAATTTCATTTTCATTTTTATTTTATTTTGTTTACCACACTCCAACCATAAACAAATAAAATAAAAAAACAATGATAACGTTTAAATATAGTTTTTTTATAGTTTTAATAATATGTATATTTACATCTGTAATATCAAATGTAATCAATATAAACAATAATATAAACAATAATATAAACAATAATATAGACGATAATATAAACAATAAAATAAATAAAATAAAACTACAGGAAGATTATCTAAATAATATAGATAATGATAATTTTGAAGATTTTGAGGATCAGGATTTTTATTATTACTATAAAAAAAATTTAATGATAAATAATTATCATCAAAAAATAATAGACAATAATCAAGAGTTATTAAAACATAAAAACAAAAATATTAAAAACTATAATAAAATATCAAATTATGAAAAAAATAAACATTTAATTAAAAATAATATAAACCCTAAGTGCAGTAAGTATTTTTAAAAATAAAAAATTTTCAAAAAATTAGTATTAATTTTTTATTAACTTTTTATTAACTTTTTATAAAGACCAAAATACAATTCTAAAAGATTGGGGGTTTCAAAATTTACAATCAGCATTCGAAAATAATAATATTACATATAACAACAATGTTTCAATAGTCAATGGGGATTTCTGGTCATTCTCCTATGAAAACTCAGTTGGTATTAATATATCATTTGTAGATGAATTACACGAAGCATTTTTTTCAACTAGTATACAGGGGTACAGTGCAATTAAAATATCAAGTTTGCCAGGCAAACCTTTTTCAACCTTGTCGTCATCTGTTTATTTGAACCAAACATTTGAAACTCAAATCGATAGTTATTATACGCTATATTTCGAAATATCATCGACGCAATTAAACTATCGTTTAGAAGTTTTATTTGATGGTCAAAAATATGTAAATATTAATCCAACTGGCGCAACTTTTAGCCGTGTCCCTTATAGATTGCCAATAGAACCAGGACCTGGGATTTTAGAGCTTTCAATTATGCTAACTTTTTTTCATGAAGGTTTGCCAATTCCACCAACTTATATAGAGAATGTTAGAATTATGAAAAATAATCTTGTAAATATTAGGCAAGATCAAGTATTTGTTTCGAATAGTGGAAGCGATATTACTGGTAATGGAACATCTACAAATCCTTTTTCATCAATTCAACAAGCCATCAATTATGTGTCAGACAACAAATATGCAACTATTTTTGTAGAGCCCGGCTTCTATTGTGGTTTGGGTAATAGTTACTTGGACTTTTCATTACAAAGCTATTTGTCGATTGCCTCTACAAGTAATAATAACGATACAATCATCTCTGGTGAATTTTACACCAATATAATTCAATTTTCCACAGTCACTGGTGTAGATTTGTTCATTTCAGGCATCAATTTTATCAGATCAAGTATTAGACCGGGTGGCTCAGCAATGACGATTAATGGAAATTGTTCCCTTTCTTTAATTAACTGCCATTTCAACGAGCATTTTGGTGATTCGGTTTTGCTCTTAAACTATTTAACAAATACCATATTGGACAATTGTATCTTTTTTAATAATACCCAATATGCAATTGAAGCTGTAGGTGTCTTTGGTCAAGATCAAATTTTAATATCTAATTGTACTTTTTACTCAATCAATAGTATGAATTTTTTAAATATTCATTACATTTTCATCACAGACTCAATATTCTTTTATAACAAAAATTTACCCAATATCGATCAACAATGCCCAGTTCTTCTTGATATGGTCGAAAAAGTATCCCTTACAAAATCTTGGATTGAAACATCACTTTGTATTTATCGTTCACAATTTTATATTAACAGTACACTTTTTCAAGAACAACCTCCAAATATCTATATTCAATCAGCAGTGTTAGCCCTCAATTCAGATTTGGTAATGAATAATATTACATTTAGTGGTGGAATATCGTTTGCTTGTATATCTGCTTTTCAAGGAAGCGTTTATCTTGGTGGTAGTTCTTTTTTTGCTACTAGTTCTAAAAACTCTATTTTGGTCGAGGATATAAATTTGGAGGTCGATAATGTTCATTTTTATAATGAAAACGTAGCATTATTCACAACCAATGGTGAAGCCACTATCAAAAATTCTTCGGTTATCTCTTCTCAATTTATAAAGTCATCAAATTCACAAATATATATTTACAATTCTAATTTTACAGATGCCACAAGCCAGGCAGCTCTATCAACTATCTACACTTTCAATTGTTTATTCAAATCTACAAGTGATACTATATTTGATTTTTATAATTCTCGATATGGAGACGATGGAAGTTTAATTATATCAAATTACTTTATGTTTTTAATAAGCAATGGCCCATCCTCAATAATTTTAAATGGAACTATCATTCAAAATAATGTATTTACAACATTCATAACCATCAACGATAAAGGTATAGGGTATCTTTACAATGTTCAATATATTGGGAACCAGGCCCAAACTTATGCTGGTGGTGCTTTTCTTTTATCTGATAACGTCCAGTTAACTATTTCTAATAGCGTATTTAGAGAAAATACTTGCACAGGATCTGGTGGAATAGTATATATGTCAACAAATTCTTATCTACTCATGGATAATTGTACTGTTTCTCAAAATTTAGCTGGTGATAATGGCGGGGTAATTTATAGTGGGGGCCAAAACAACATTACCATCAATGGTGGATTCTACCTTAAAAACCAATTAAAGGAAGGCAGATTGGGGGTCTTTATTTTCTACTATGGTAACGAACCAATCATAAGGTCAAATGTAATATACACTCATGAAGAAACTATAGTGTTGGGTATTATCTCGCTTTTTATAAATACCAATATTAATGGCCCAATTCAAAGTGGTTCTGGTCCATACTATATTATGGTTACATTTGTAAACTCTAAACAAAAACCATTATTCGGATACCACTTTGATAAGAACTCTCAGCTCTATGTATCATTAATTGGAGGAAGTATTTTAAACACCCAGTTCCTTGACAAATTACCAGCCGATAATGCTTCCATTATAATTACTATAGATAAATTAGTGGGTCAAATAAACTCAACACAAACTATTTTTATAAACTCTGATTCTTCATCTATTACATCAACCAAACTATCATTCCAATTTCAAAGTTGTCAAGATGGTTATTATCCCAATGAAGACTCTACATTGTGTATCCTTTGCCCATTTGGTACCTATGGTATAAACTCTCAATGTGAAACATGTCCAGCCAACACATTTTGTTATGGTGGTTCAAGTATTGCAGGTTTAGATGGTTTTTGGGTATTTACAGACGGCCCAAATATTAAAGTATATGAATGCCCCACAGATGTTTGTTATAAAAATGACGAAGCAAAAAACACCACCTGTGCCCAGTATAGTAGCGGTATTTTATGTGCAGGTTGTATCGAAGGATATTACAATTGTGGTTCTGGCTGCAAAAAAGAAGACTCTATTAACAAGTTTGTTTTGACCATCAGAATATTCATGTTTTTTATTTTGGTAATCACCCAACAATGGTCTAGTGATAACTCTGGTTTGGTTACTATTGCCTTATACTTTATGCAAACTCTTGCTGTAATTTCATCAGGTATTAAATTCAGTATTTTAACAAGTTTAAGTGGTTCAGTATCAGCTCATTCTGGTAGATCCAATAGCATTCTCTCAGTACTTGATGATTGTCTTGGTCCATTTGGTTTCTATTGGAACCACTATTTCATCCTGCTACAGCCAATATTCCTTTTCTTGGTTTTACTATTCATCATTGTTTTAGAGCTATTCCTTAGAAAAACAGGAATCATCTTTAAAATTCCATTTATTAAAGATCTTGTTGAAAAGACCGAAAAAGAATTCTTTAATCGTCAATTCTCTACATTTATCAAAGTATGCATGAATTCTTATGGCCCATTTGCAACCGAAATGCTTTTAATATTATTCTGTGAAAGTATTGGTCCATATGAACTATTAAATGCAAGTCCTGAAGTAAGCTGCAAGGGTAGTGCCTATGAAACTGCCACCAAAATCACTTATGGCCTAATTTCGGTATTGGCACTTTTCCCAATTATTATTTTCATCTTGCTCTATAGAGTCAAAGACCGTTTACACGATAAAGATGTCGAAAGAAGATATGGTGTTTTCTATCTCAAATATGTACCAAAACTATACTTTTGGGATGTTACCCTATTGTTGAAAAGATTATCAATTGTAACAGTATCGCTAATCCAGTTCCAATCAAACTATAGATCCGTTATTTTAGTAATCCTTGGTTTGGTCTATTTATTTGTCCACTTGAAATTCCAACCATTCATTACCGATCAAGATAACAACTTGGAAACCGTATCATTAATTTTACTATTCATCTCATGTATTTATTTAGACAATGGCTTGTACGAAGATACTGAACAATGGATTTTAATTATATGTGTTGTTTCATTCCTATTAGCAGCCATTAAATTCCAATCAAAATATTTAATGAATGAATTCAACAACAAAATTTATCCCATCTTAAAGAAAATCTATGATAAAATTACCTCCAAAAATTCAAAATTAGATATAGATAGTCATCATAAATTATATTACGATTACGAAGAATCAGATAACGAAGATGATGAAAATGCACATTTTGCCTATGACTCTTCAAAAAATATTATTAAAGTAGTAGATAAATCAAGCTATTACAATTTTGGTGGTTCATCTCCAAATGAAAAACTATCATCATCATATACATATGGTGATGATGGTTCAGATGATGACGATTATTTAATAACCAACCAGATTAAAAGAAGAATTTAAATATTTATTTAATTAATTTCAAATAAATAATTATAACAAATAATAGTAATAATAGTAAAAAGAGTAATAATAATATAAATAATCATAACATTGTAATAACAATTAATAAAATTTTAAAAATTTAAATTAAATTTATTTAAAATAAATTAAAAAAAACTATTTAACAATCGTAACAACATTCTTTATTTTCTTCTGGTACTTTAGTTGGATCTAAACCTAACTGTTTCATTTTTACTGCAATTTCGAATAAATAATCTAAACATTCGCATTGAGTTTTAGCTTTAACCCAATCTGGACCCCAAACATAAACACCATGTCTTCTAACTAAAACTGCATTTGCATTTGGATATTTCTCCATTGCTCTATACTGTAAATATTAAAATATTAATAAATATGTTTAAATAGTTTTATATATATTTATAAAATACGTTTTATTACTTACCATTCTTTCTTTTAAATCTCTTTCGTGTGGTGTATTTTCAATAATTGGAATAACTAATTTATCAAAGTATTGTAAGAATTTTGCATTTTCACCATGTCCAGAAATAACACCTTTGATCATTTCTTGATGAGTAATAATAAATTCTTTTTCATAGAGAAGAGTAACCATAACTGCTTGTTGACTGTGTGTGTGAATTACAGCACCAGCTCCTCTATGTCTGTATGCATTAAAGAATAGTGGTGTACATTGACTTGCTTTTAATTTTTTATCTGATGGTGGTGCCGATATTTCTTCTTCATTTTCATTATATACAAAAATATCATCACCCAAAATTCTTTCTTTTTGAACTCCTGATGCTGCAATATAAATTTCTTTTCCTTCTTTAATACTAATACCACCTCCTGTACCAGTTACCCATCCGTTACCATAAAATAATTTACATAATTCTGGAATTAACTTTCTTGGGTGCTCTTCTGAATAATTATCTGACATTATTAAATTAAAAAAAATATTAAGATGAATATAATGGGTAAAAAAAAAAAAAAATGCCGAATTGAACAAATTTAATTAAAAAATGCAAAAATAAAAAAAAAAATAATTTAAAAAAAATAAAATAATTAAAAATTTTTTTTTTTTTCTGATTGGGTGTGAATATAATAAATTTTATTTCTTTATTATAATATAGGGTAAATGTGCATACTGTTACATTAAAATATTACTATTAAATTAATAATACATGAAATATCTTTTTTATAGAATGGGAATAATTTAGTATTGGTACAGGACAATAATAATATTTAAAAACAGAATGCATATAGTCAACTATGTGATACTTAGTTACAACCGCATGAACCGCTTCCGCTACCTGATGAGGATCCACTGCTACCGCTTGAAGCACCACCATCGATACTGTAGTCATAGGTATAGGTTGTGGTGTAGGTTACTGGATTTGAATAGTAGTAATAGTATGAATAACCACCAGCGTCACAAGAGCCACATTGAATCTTATTTGAACCCATGGATGATGCACCTTTACCAGCAGAAACTCTTGATTTTGATGAACCGCTCATTGGTGAGAGAGAAGTAATAGCAGCTGCATATAAAAGAATGAAAATCAATAAAATAAATTAGTTTTTAATAAAATCCAAAACTATAAAAATATATTTATGTAATATTTACATAAGATTGTCATTTTTAAAGTGTAAGTAGTAATTAAAATATATTATAATTTGATGATTTAAAAAAAAATTATCTTTCTTTTTATATCTTTTTTTTTTTTGATATGGTTTTTTTTATTTTTATTTTTTTTTATTTTTATTTAAATCATCATTTAAATGATAATGTTATTTGTGGTTGTGGGATTTTAAAAATTGATAATATTTATTTATTTGTTTATTTTATAAACTTATGATAAAAATTCGTTTGATGTAATTATATATTTAAAATTAAACTTTCATTTTTTCATTTTTAAAAAATTATATATATTAATATTTTTCTATTATTTTTTTAAATCATATAATACATTCCAATAAATCTTGGTTCAATATTTTTTTAATAATAAACTTACTCATATAATCAACAAAAATATTATGATTAGAGATATAAAGTTTTATCTATAACTTAAAAAAAAAAAAATGAAAAAAAGAAAATGTTTGATTACTTTAAAAATTTTTTAATTTATAGATAATTTTCACACACAAGTACCCACCACCAACAAACGACTCACACAAAATTAGACATCATAAAATCACTCAGCTTTATATTTTCATTTTATTATAATATTAATATAAAAATTTATCGTAAAGATATTATTTTTCCCTTAATGGTAAGTTAAAAAAAAAAAAAAAAAATTTTTTGTTGATGAATTTTTTAACAATGTAAAATATAAATAGTATTACTTGTTTTTGCAAAAATGATAGTTAAAATTTAAATAGTAGTTTTGGTGGGTACCCTTTTTTAAAAAAAATAATATATAAAAAAAAGTTATAAATAATTTTTTTTTTTTATAATTTCTTCATTCAATTCAAAATACAATTTACTTTTTAACCTTTTAAAAAATGACAATCTTATGTAAATATTTATTATTTTATAATTAACTATATTCTTATGTTTTTTTAACTTTTTTTCCTTAATTCTTTTATATGCAGCTGCTATTACTTCTCTCTCACCAATGAGCGGTTCATCAAAATCAAGAGTTTCTGCTGGTAAAGGTGCATCATCCATGGGTTCAAATAAGATTCAATGTGGCTCTTGTGACGCTGGTGGCTATTCATACTATTACTACTATTCAAATCCAGTAACCTACACCACAACCTATACCTATGACTACAGTATCGATGGTGGTGCTTCAAGCGGTAGCAGTGGATCCTCATCAGGAAGCGGAAGCGGTTCATGTAATTGTAATTAAATTTCCAGGCACTAACTTTATAGTACATATAATATCATTAAATGTGCTCATTGTAACAACAATATTATTACAATTTTGTATTAGTAATAATCAAATAAATGAATATAAACATTATATATAATAAAATTTATTTTGGTAATGTTTTTTTATAAATATATTTTTAAAAAATATAGGTTTATTTTTCTTTGTTATTTTAAAAAAAGAAATTTTATTACTTTTATATATACAGGGTTTTGGTTTTATTTTTAATCGGTAATAATAGAGCCAATACAGTCTTCATTATCATTGTGATTTTCTATATTATTACTATTATTATTATTATTATTATTATTATTATTATTATTATTATTATTATTATTATTATTATTATTATAACTATTATTTTTTAATAAGTTGGTTGTTTCATTTGTTGGTTTTATGTTTGAAACTGAATCTATTTTTTCATTTGATCCATTAGAATTTAAATTATTATTTTTTTCTTTATTTTTTTGAACTTTTCCTTTTATGAGATAACCTAAACCTAAAAATATTAAACTCACACCCATACCTGAAAATACAAAGAGTAATGACCAAGTTGCTTCTTGTTTAGTTTGTGAAGTGGTACAATCTTTAGAAAGGTAGTCCATGTTTTGAATAGAAACGGCATCACCAAAGAAAGATGATTGATGGTCTGTGGAGCAAATAGCATAAATACCATCATTGGTATATAGAAAATGAAAAGAATTCCAGAATAAAAATATATTTGAACCGTCCGAGTAAATAAAATGAGAAATATTTGTTTTTATCATATTATTTCTAAGATTGATATTGGAATCTATTGCAGATATTACCCCTTGGTCAAACACTTGAATACTATTACCAGTGAACGAGATTGTATTATCAAGCATTGTTACTGATGACTTTCTAAAATCGAAAACTGGATAATCTTGATTATAACTTCCTCTAGCATAGTTTATATCCAAGCTGCTATATACTAAATTTATAAAACAACCTGCACAAATAAAGAATGGTCCTTGATCGATAGTAAGTTGAATATTTGAATCTTTAAAGAAAACTTCGGCATTTAAAACATTAATGAATGGCTTGTTGTTTATGAGAGTGTTGGTTACGTTAACATTTTCAATGGAAACTCTACCTCTAACAACATATACTATTGGTTGGGTCAAAGAAATACAGTCAAACACACAGTTTGTTAAACTGACAGAAGTTGGAATGGATGGTGAGCTTACAACTGGATAGCCCATAATGAGAGTATATTGACTATAAAATGTACAGTTGAATAATGTAATTTGAATTGGTGGGCTACCGCTATATAAAGATGATACGAAATTGTTAGCATCATAATCGTCACTACTATTGCTACCATAATGGGAATCAGGTCCATTAAAATCCCAGTCAGATGAAGGTGGAGGTACTATAGATTCTGAAGTTACTGAAACTAATGGAGAAGCTTGATAAAAACTATATAATATATTGTTGAGTGTAATTACAATTGTATATATATTATTATCGGTAACACCACGATAACTTTGGCCATATGGAACTTGAATCAAAACAAAAACTGCAGAATAGCTGGCTGAAGTAGAAAGTGAAAAATTATTAATTGTGATATATGTTGAAATTTCGCTGTTGATTGAAAAAAGTGGTTCGGCTGAACCAAATATAACACCTGGAAAATATTGTGCATTATAAGTTGAATCAGTTTGATCTACTGAAACTGTAATATTATAGCCAGACACTTCTTGAACCTGAGCTGAATAACTACCTCTATAAAATACTAAATTGATAGGATTAACTTGCAAATTATTTGATTTGATAGTATTAAAAGCCCAAAATACTGTCGAACATGGGATTGTATTGATTCCAAAACCACAATTGGCAATATCTGCCCCACTATTTGAAATATAAATTGAATATACTATATTACTTGAATTATTAGTTTGTTGCGATAATACAAAATTATTATTATTATTAAAATTGTTTAAAAACAATACTAAAAAAATATTTAAAATTAAAATTTTAAAATATTTTATCATTTTTATTATTATTATTTTTTATTCAAAAAAAATAATAAAAAACTATTCTATGATTGACAAAATAAGTAAATAAACAAATAAATTAAATTAAATGATAATTATTTTAAAAAAAATAAAAAATAAAAAAATATTTTTTTAAAAATTTTAACCTACAAAATTAGGTTTTATTTTTCCAAAGATATTTTTTTACGAAAAAAAAAATTAAATTTTTATTTAATAATTATTTATTTTTTTCTCTTTTTTAAATTAAATAATATTAATATAAAAGTAATAATAATAGTTATAATAATAACAATAGTTTAATTATAATTTTGTATATAAATATTTAATTTATAAATAAATAAAATATATTTTTTTTTTTTAATTTTTAAATTTTTTTTTTTTTTTTAAATAAATAAAAATGAAAAATTATTTTATTTGTATTTTATTTTTATATATATTTTTAAATAGTAGTATAATAAAAGCACAGTATAATTATAATCATGTATATTATATCAATGGTACAGGAGATGATATATCAAATTCTTGCACAGAAGATTCACAATGTTATTCAATAGACAAAGTTGTATATGTTTTTTTACAAGAAATAAATGGATATTATTATTATAGCAACTATCCACCCTTAACAATATATATGGGCGAAGGAGCAAGTGTGTTTTCAAATGTAGATTTCAGACCATCATATCCATCTTCATCTTCTTCCTCATACTCTTCTTCACCAATTGGTCTTTATGGTTTCAACTTTACCCTTATTGGAACATCTGAGGGTGGGGTTGGATTAATAAATAATAATTCATTCCCATTCTTTTCAATCGAAACAGACTTTCAAACAAAACAAACTTATCTTAATTTTATCAACATAAATTATGGTGCTTTTGGTAATGCACAGTGTTTATCATCAAATGCTGCAAATAGCACTTCCATTACTGACTCGGCAGATTTTATTGAGTTATCAGCATTATATAATGTCCTAGTAAAAGTTACATTTGAAAATTTTACTTACTCCTGTAAATATAATGACAAGGCTTTTATCATGGTACAAGGTGAACCAAACCCAGAACAATCAGCATCAGAAGATTGGACAACTTTTAATACAGCATATAGTTTTCCATCTACACTCTACAGCTTTTCATTTATAAATTCAGTATTTCAAAATAGTTTTGGTTCAGTTTCTCTCGAATTAGCATCACCAATTTTAAACTCTACCTATTGTCCAGTAACATTAGAGTTTATTCAATCAAGTCTTTCAAGTAATGTTCAACCACAATCACCATTATTTTTAATGGGAAGAGGACAATTAATAGTTGAAAAAAGCAATTTCTTTGCATCACCTGAAACCTCATCAAATTGTTATGAACCTATTTTTCAAATGGGTAATGTAGAGGTTTATTTTAACGATAATCAGGTTTCAATGTGGCCAGTCCATCAAAGTACTTTAATCAATTGTGATGGTTGCTTTTTTACAGGTGTCTCTAACAATATATCATCAACATTCTTTAGCTCCAATCGATCATGTGCTTCAGAAAACCAATCATTATTTTCATTCTCTAGATCATCCTCTACCATTTTGAATTCAAATATAACAATGGACGAGCTTTATCCAAGTACCATCAGTGCAAAACCAAATTTAATTTATGCTTCACAATCTCAAATTTCTCTTAGAAGCAATTATATAAGTTCAACTATAGGCTCAGCATTAAATTATCAAAGTGTAAAATCGTTTATGTTTTCAAATGTTTTCTCAAGTAAAAGTTTTAATCCATATGTAAATTGTGACAAAAACTATCAAAACAGTTTCAATGGCGATAAATTCTCAACAGATATTGGTAGTAATCATGGTAGTAATTGTAACTCCTTTGTACAAAAACAAAAATTACAAAACGCTTTCATTTTCTCGGCCATTGGTGTTGGGGGTACTTTTGGATCTTTATTATTTTTATATATTTCAAGATATATCATTAGACGTTGCAGTGGACCAATAGATGACAATGAAAAGCATAAAATAATCAGTCGTTATTAAATTATTAAAATTTTAAATAAAAAATAAAAATAATTTTTAATTAAATTATTATTTCTAAAATAAACAAGAAAGCCAATAATAAATATACTCATATTATCAGCAAAATATTAGATTAGAGCTATGAAAAAAAAAAAGAAAGAAATAATTATGATGATAAAAATTTTTTTAGAAAAATAAGTTTTAGATATATACAATTTTTATTTATTTATGTTTTTTATATTATAAAATAGTGCAGCCGCATCCAGTATATTCGACAATCATAGTACCATGGCACCAATCACAAACAGTGTTTCCTTGACCCTATTTATAATAAAAATATTAGTAAAAATACAAAATAATATATGTAAATAATTTTATACTTACTTTGCAATGAAAACAATCAAAACGAGTTACAGTTCTACCACTACCCTTGCAGTGGAAACATTTTGCTCTTCCATTTTCACAATGTATACATTTCATTCTTTTAACTTCTTTTTCATCTGACATTTTATTTATTTATTTATTTATTTATATATATTTATTATTTAATGGTTTTTATTTTTATAATTTGATTTCTATTTATTATAAAAAAATATGCATTTTAATAGTTTTTTAGAATATCCATTGAAATAAAATAAAAAAATTATTTTTAATTTTTTCTTTTTCCCAAAAAATAAAGAATGAAAAAACCTCAAATCCTTTGGTTTGAGGGGAAAAAATTATTTTTTAAATTATTGATTCTTTACTCCCTATTGTTAAAGATTTTTTTGATTATAATTTTATAATAACTAAGGCACGGCTTTATAAAATTACCAATTTATAAAAACAACGATTTTTTGTTTTATTTTTTTATTTTATTTTATTTTATTTATTTTGACATATCAAAGAATAAATTTTTTCCATAAAATTAGAGTTCTTAACAAATAAGGATTATATGATATATTTTTTATTTACCAAAGAAATAAATAAAGAATCTTTTTTTTTAAAAAAATAGTTTCTTTAAAAAAAAAAAAAAAAAACATTTTTTTTTTTAATATAAAAAAAAACAAAATTATCTTTCAATTAAAAAATTTCAAAAAGAGATTTAATAATCATGGTATGTTTCTAAAAAAAATTCTCTAATAAAAAAGAAATATAATATTAATTTTACTATTAAAATTTGGAAACCATTTTTTTGAAATTTTAATTTATCAAAATCACTTTCGGTTTTATATTTTTATTTTATTTATATGTTTATATTAATAAAATTATTTCTATTTACTATTAAAGTTGTAAAAGTCATTGATCATTTAACATAAAATGATTCTTTTACAAACTACTTTATTTGAAAATAGCTTGATAAGGTTAAAAAGAATCATAATTATTCATTAAACCGAAATTTTTTTGTTTTTTTTTTTGATTTACTAAAAAATTTTTTTTTTTTTTTTTTTTTTTTTTGATTTTTTTCATTTCTACTTTTAATTTTTTTAAAAAAACTAATTATTTTAAACATTAAAATTTAAAATTAATTAATCAATTTATGTTTGTTTTAATTATTGGGTTGGTAATTTTTATTACTATTGGTTTTAATTTAGTTATGGGTTTATTAACTCCAACAAAAGATATTGTAAATATATTTATTAATAATATAGATAATAATAATAATATTGATAATAATACAGATAATAATATATTATTGTTTTATTAAATTATTAATAATAAGCTTATTTATTTTAATGTATACAGGATTATGAAAAATATGATTTAAAAAATAAAACAATTATTATTACTGGGTCAAATGCAGGTTTAGGTAAAGAGATTGCTAAAAAGATTGCTAAATTAAATGGACATATTATTTTTGCATGTAGAAATGAAAAGAAAGCAATGGAAGCAATTAAAGAAGTTAAAGATTTTACAAATAATGAAAATGAAAAATTGGAATTTATCAAATTAGATTTATTATCATTTGAAAGTATCAAAGAGTTTGCCAATGAAATAAAGAGAAGAGAGCTCCAAATTAATATTTTAATTAATAATGCTGGTATTATGTGGTTATGGGAAGACTTAAAATGGAACAATCCAATCACTAAAATAGGTTGTAGTCAATTCAATACCCAGTTTTTCGCAAATTATTTAGGCCATTTCATGTTAACTCAATTATTATTTGACAATTTAATGGAAAATCAAGCACGTATTTTAAATATTTCTTCATCAGTACACAGTCTTAGTAATTTTTCATTAGAGAATCTCACTGAAAATACATCTTACACTTTTGCAACCTACTGTCAAAGTAAAATGGCACAGATTCTCTCAACTTATCAAATGCACTCTCAAATCGAATCTATCGAGTCTGAAAAAAAGGCAACTGTTAATGCAGTCCACCCAGGTATTTTTGCAAGTGATATCGTTAACCTTCCATCACCACTAGACAAGTTATACTTTAAAATTTTTAAATCTGCTGAATATTGTGCAAGACACATTGTTAAATACGCAGTTTACGACGAATATCAATCAATCTCTGGTAAATATTTTGATGATACTAAAATCATTAAAACTTCAAAACAATCTTATGACACAAATTTATCTAAACAACTTTGGGACAAATCAATGGAATTGATCAAAGATTATATAATGTAAAAAATAAAAAAATAAATAAAAATAAAAATAAAATAGTTTTTATGTTTTATTTTAATGTATAAAAAAAAAAAAAAAAAATTTTTTTTAAACAAATCCCAGAAATTCGGGAATTGACATCGAAAATATTTTATCAAAAATTTTTATAATAAAAATTTTTTTTTTTAGAATTGCCTTTTATTTTAATATTTTACACTTAAAATTTTTTTAAATTTAATATTATACAATTGTCAATAATAAAGATGAATAGTAGGAGTAATTCAGTTTCAAGTTTAAATAACAATATAAATAATAATAAAACCACAACAAATAATATATTATATGATAATAATTATGATTTAATAAAAAATGAATTTTATAAATTATCAAATAATATTTTAAATATTTATGATTCATTAAATAATTATTGCGATTCAATAAAATTAATATATATCGGTCAAAATAGTTATTTAAATAATTCATTTTCATATTACGATTCTAATCATCCAATATCAAAATATGGTAATGAAATTTTAACTCAAATCGATCTGGTGTTTAATGAATGGGGTTTAAATCAAGCTGCAAACTTTCAAGCTTTAGTAGAGTTCTGTAATCAGTTAGATGCCATTAGAATAAAGATCGAATCTTATGAAAGTGGTAATAAAAGTGATTCAAATTTAAAATCGGAGGTATTCAATGATGTAATTCACCAATTTGACTGTAGGGTAAACAATTTCGATATACCTTTAATTAATATTCAGTTTTCTCTAAATAGTTTAATAACCTCAATCTCAACAATTCAAAACAATTCCTCATCTAGTCTTCAAAATAAAATTAATTTTATAAACCCAGTTTCTCATTTAAGCCAAATAAATACCAATACACAACAATTAAATGGGAAGATTAATAATAGTAGTAATAATAATATGAATAAGCCAATTAATAATAGTAGTAATAATATTATTAATTCATCAAATAATAGTTTAAATAAACCACCTCTACCAACTGCTTCAAATATTAAAAAGGCAAGCCTAAAACCATTGGCAAGACCATCTTCAGTAGAGATCCCAAAAATAGATGCCCCAGATAACATGTATAGAAGTGAAAATAAAGAAAAGCATATACTAGGTCAACATATTACACCTCCAGCAAGAGCCATTCCTCTTACCCCTCAACAACATACAACACCAGCACCAAGATTGGATATTTTAAAACAACAAACAAAACCTGCCGCTGCAACAATACAACCAATAAAACCTGCGGCAACACCACCACTATCCAGACCTTCAGATGATATTGTTCCAAATAGACCTGCACCAATACCACAACAAACAAATCATAACTTGGTTTCAAGACCTAGAGCTCAATCTGTAAATTATTCTTCACCTCCATTACAGAGACCTCCCGTATCCCCAATACAAACAAGACCTTCACCAGTTCCTTTGTTCCCCAAACCAGCACCTCAACCTTTACTACAAAAGCCTGCACCACAACCTTTACATCAAAAGCCTGTAACACAGCTTGCACCACAACAGCAACCATTAAGACCAACTCCAACATTCCCTAAGCCACTAGCATCACCATCACAACAAAATAATTTAAATTCACAGCCACCTGAACAATCAATTCACCAACCACTGAGGCCAGCACAATCATTTCCTAAACCTCTAGCAACTGCACAACAAAATAATATTGCAACCGAACCTCAATCAAGACCCCTTGCATCATCTTCAAGATCTCAAGCAAACTCTTATCAACAGCAAAATAAGAGTGCAAATGCATCTACACCTGCACCATACCAAAATAACAATTACATTAATAATTTCAACAGTAATAGTTTTAATTATCAAAGACCATTACCACAACCACAACCTAAATTCCAGCCATATCCTTCAATTGAAGAAAATAAACAAATGATTTCATCAAAGCCTACTTCTTCATCCTCATCATCCTCTAAAAAAGGATTTTCTTTTTCAAAGCTTGTAAAGGAAATTGAAGATGGTGTAAATAGCTCTAATGGGGGTTTTGGAATGGCGGTTATGGGTGGCGGTCCTTCCTGTGGCCTAACAGGTAGACCAATATCTAATGACCCTAATATTCAAGATTTAATGTATGACTATGAAAAACATAGAAAGAGTAATTATAATTATTATTTATTTATTTATTTTTATTTTTGTCTGAGCACAAAGCTTGTTTCACATTGCTCAATTAACATAAAAAATATTTCTTTTACTAATTTTTTTTTAATTTAGTATTTGGCAACAAAAGATTTAAACTTTCCTATAGCTATACGCAAACAGTATCGTATAAAAAGTTTAATAACAAATATACAATTCTTAAAGGTAAACCAGTCAGCGGATCATCAGTTTATTTATATATATTCGAACCACTTACATTCCAATCTCAAAATATTACAAGCTCAAATATTGTTTTTAGAGACAGTAATGGTTTTGTAGCCGAGCCCACTGTTATCTCTCACTTTCAAAATATTCTTAGTGTAGAGTTTAAAACCCCAAAAGAAGGTCAAACTTTTTATTGTGATTATGAATTTACAGCCGATCTTTACTCAGCAACACTTGTAGAAGCAGCACCAAATGAACAGATTCAAGTTGAACCAATTTCAAATTCCGAAAGAGAATTCTTTTTAAAGGTAGAAGGACAACTCAAATTTAATACACCAGAATTTGAACAATTCATTAATGATAACTTGTTATACCCTCAACAATATTCTGATGGAACCCTTGAAAGCAAATTATGTTTCTCTTATAGAGTGTCTCTTTATATAAAGTGCTATGTAAAATATGACCTTAGTTCTGGTAATCAAGAGCCCCTAGAAACAATAAGAAAAGGTTTGGGTAATTGTAGCTCATATTCTATTCTTTTTGCATCCATTTTACGTTATAATGATATTCCATGTAGAATAATAAGTGGTTTAGTAAGTCGTAAAAAGGAAACCTTACTTATTGGTGGAAGAGCAGCTCATGGTCAAAATGAATTTTATATTGAAGAAATAGGATGGGTACCCTACAACGGTGCATTTATGGACCACGGGGCATATAACTTTTTAGCATTTGGTAGATCATTAGGTGATCTTTTAACTCTAGGTATGTTGCAAGAAAAAGGAATTTTACCAACCGATCCAAATAATGAAAGAGATTTTCAAATGCTACACATTCAACCACCTGCAAGTTATGAAGGCACAAAAATTACAAGTGCAGATTTTATTACAGATGATCAACTCCAAAAAATTGATAATTATAGTTTTTTATTAACATAATAAAATATAAAAAAGTTGTAATTTTAAAAAAATTTTGTTTATTATTTATTTATCTTTATTTAATTTTTTGCCCATTTTGAAAAACCATTATTACTCATTAAGTAATCTGAAACTTGATCTTTTTCTAATGTTTTATAAAGAAGGGTTTGATTAAATACATTAAATGGATCTTTTTTTGTCATTTCAACAAAGAAATATACATAGTCACCACGAAGATATAGTTTTGGTAATTTACAATTTTCTTTTAATAAATTTAAAACTTGATTTGCATCACTTGCTAACTCTGTTGGTAGTTTAAATTTAAATGAGTATAATACAACATCTTGAAAGAATGCATTTTCACCTATATAGAATATAAATTTGATTTATTAGTTTAAAAGAATTATGATAATCATTTAAATTTATATGATATGTTACCTGGGAAAGCCCATAAATTAACTGATAATGGTTGTGGGTTAATGTTATTAGATGGATAACCATAACCTGTTGTAACTGGACTGTTAATATCCATATCTGAAATTGCACTGCAAATATCATTACTTGTTATTTTATCCATTGTAACTGATGAGGGTGAACCTTTAAAGAATTTGATAGTGTGTTGAGAATCACTTGTAACCTCTTCATTTTCTAAATATTTAAAGTATACAGCTGCTGGTTTGTAAAATGTTTCTAATTTTAAATATTTACCATCGAGGTATGGGTATGAGATTTCTTGAGATTTGTTAAAGTCTGTTGAAAATACATTTGCTGGTGTTGGTGGTTTACCATAGCTGTAATTAATTGCTATATCCCATTCACATGTAAAAATTGGACCTTTGCTCATATCAAAATGTTTCCATTCGATTTTTTTAAAGTCATTAATATTATTATCAAAACTAAGGTTCTTATACTTTGATTTTATTGAATTATAATCATTGTATTGATTTTCTGATCTTTTATTTACAATAGTTGCATTTGTAGAATATAAAGATTTGAAAGCAAATTGAGTATTTATAACTGGTCTATATAAATACACATTTAACAATGAGTTGGATAAAGTAGTATTTGGTTTTATTAGTTTATTTGTGAACATTTTGTGAAGATAAATAATTTGAAAAAAATTTTGAAAAAAAAAAAAAAAAAAAAAAAAAAAAGATGAAATGAAAAAATATTTTAAAAAAAAAAAAACCAATATCATTATTATAACCTTTCAAAATTTCGTTTAAATTTTTATTTATTTAAAAAAAAAAAAAAAAGATATTTATTTTTTATAAAAAAAAAGGTGTGAATTTAATTGAATAATATGTATTAAAGATTTATAATAAAATAAATGATGAAAAATAAAAGATTCTAAAATTGGTGTTTATTATAATAATTTTGCAACATTTTAATAAAAAAAAAAAAAAAAAAACCTTGCCTATTTTTACTTTAACTAAAATGAAACAAATATAAATAAATGATGAAAAATATTAAAAAGTTTTTTTGTATCCTGTATATTTCTCTGGTGATGAATAATGCTATACACAATAATGACAATAATAATAGCTATAATAACAATAATAACAATAATTATAACTGTTGTTGTTTTTTTATTTGTACATATAAATTTAAAACACTGTTAATTTATATTTTTATTAAGTTTTATTTTATTTTCTTGATTTTTTTTTTCCATTTTATTTTTCTTTTTATTATTATATATCTTTTATCTATCTATATTTAAATTTCTAAAACGTGATTAGTTGGATCAACAACATATTTGGCTGGTGGAGTATTTCTTTGCCATTTGGTACCACCAACAGCATCACATGCTATAAAAAAAAAAAAAAAAATTAGTAAATGAAATTGAAAAGGTGGGGTATGTGGTTCACCACACTATGATTTTATATTATTATTATTATTATTATCGCTGTTATATTATCGCTGTTATATTATCCAAGGTTATTATGACTATTTATGTTTTGGTTTATTATTCGTTGCAATACTGTAAATATTATTAATTTCTTTAATTATTATTATTATGATTGTTATTATGATTGTTATTATGATTTTTATTATGATTGCTATTTCTGATGACATACGAATATATGGATCTGGATGTTCCCAATAAATTGAAAAGTCTTCTAAATCTTTAACTAATTTTTGAACAACGAATGGGTTGGTTTCTTTTGCACCTTCTTTAACGGCAGAACGTAAATCACCAGCACTGAGTAAAAACATATCATAATCTTCAGAGTAATCTCTGATGGATTTGATTGATTTACGATAAAGTCTAACTACTCTTTGGGCGTGTGTGATCATTTTAAATATAATTAATTTGTGTAATGAAAAAAATTGATAAAAAAAAAAATAAAAAAAATAAAAAATAAAAAAATAAAAAATAAAAAAATTTAAAAAAAAAAAAAAAAAAAAAAAAAATTAAAAAAAAAAAAGGAAAAAATAAAAAAAATAAAATAAAAATACAAAAAAAGAAATTATCTGATTGAAAAATTATTGTATTTTATTTAGAACAATGTTTTTTATTGAATTTGTTTTTTTGATAATATTATCAAAATATTACAAATCTATTTTAGACTAAAGTGACGATTTTACATACAACTGAATGTTGTAATTGCTAAAATACCAGATATAAAAACGAATAAGATAATAAATACAATTTCACCGTAGGTATACATAATAGCTTGTAGTTCTGAGCTATATTGGATGGGTGGTGATGGGGATGGTGGTGATGGGGATGGATATGATGTTTCTGATGGAGTTACTGATGAATTGTCTATGCATGATACTTTGAAATCTTCAACTGTAACATCATCACCTGCTTTGCATTTGAAATTATTTGGTATATGATATTGTTGGTGATTTGGTTTTACGCAATTAGAATCATCAAATATATATGGAGTATATGTAAATGGAGATTCTTCACGTATAATGACATATTGACCACAGTAGAAAGTGCAAGTTTCGATGAATATATAACCAGTACCAAAGCAACGTGGAGATTCAATCAAAAAGAGTTTTTGTGGTTCACCAGGGGGTTGTGATTGAGAAATTGCTACACAAAATATAACAAATAATAAAATTATATTTTTATACATTTTTATGTGATGGGTTTAGAGTTTAAAATTTAATATTTAAAATTTTAAAAAAAACCTTTTTTTAAATTTTTTTTTTTTTTTTAATTTGTTTAATTTAATTTTTATTTATTTTTTATTTTTTATTTTTTTTTAAAAAATAATACCTTTGTTCACTTTCCCTTCTAACATTCCTTAAAATAAAAATTTCATAAAAAATAATATCTGTGTAGTTTATAATATAGTATTGATTACTTATTTGTTTTTTATTTTTATTTTTATTTTAGTGATAAATTTTCTAGTTGATTCTTGCAAATTTTAAATTTTGTTTTTATTATGATTACTATCAAACTATAATATATCAAATTAATAAAATATTTTGGGCAGTTTCCAAAAAAATTTATTTTTGGGTTTTTTTATTTTTTTATTTTTTTTTTTTTAAATTAATCAAATTTTTTTAATTTTATTAAATCAAAAAAAAAAAATATATAAATTTACACATGGAATCAATATTAGATATAGAAAATAATATCAATATCAATAATAATAATTATAATATTAATATTGATAATAAAAATAAAAATTTTATTAAAGAAATTAATAGTACCTTTAAAGATTTAAAAAATTATTGTAAAAATGATTCATTATTATATATATTTTATAGGTTAATTCAAGCAGATTATAATTTTTATCAACAATGTTTAGGTATTTTTGAAGGAATTGTGGGAATTCATTTTAAAAGTTTTATTTTAATACCAAGGGGTTCATTTGCCACTAAAACAGGTTTGAAATCAACAATAGATTTGGATTTAGATTTTATATTACCAAGAGAATTTGTAAAACCAGAGGATTTAAATTCAACATTGGATTTTCCTTTATTGTTAATTGAAATAAATCAAATTATATCAAAAACAGCAACCAATAAACAAATAACAATTAAAAGTATAAATAAAAATATTACAAGAAGTTTAAAATATGTTTTCACAGTTGAGGGTATCGAGGTTTCGGTTGATTTATTCCCAAAGTTGGTATCTATAGAAGGAAAATTGGTGTGTCCAAGTCACTTTAAAGATGAAACAGGTAATAGGTATTGGGAATATTCAAATTTTATAAGCGAAATAGAAAAACCACAATTCAAGAATTTCAAATAGCAGCAATACTTTTTATTAAACTTTATAAAAAAGACATTTTAGAAAAAGAATTAAAAAAGAACCCAAATATTGAGCCAATCATAATATTTTTAAAAGGATATCATTTATGCTTGGCTATGGATAAACTCATTGATAATGGAGAACCAGGTGCTAATATTGTAAGTATACATTAAAATTATATATTTATCTATGAAATAAATACTAATAAACATTTATCCTCAATAGAGTCTAAAATTCAGTGTTTCAATAATCCAAAATCTTATAATAAACATTTCAAACTATCTAATAATAGCATATGATAACAATAGATTCAATAATAACAGATACGAATATAGGGGTTTTAAAAAATCAGACTTTTTATTTGATGGTGTGGATCCATTTTATGAAGATCTAAAGCATTTAAAAGATCAAGATTTTAGAACATTAATATATTATTTAAATAAACTTCAAAAAAAAGTTATTGTTTTAAATAATTAACAAATAAAAACTATAACTATAAAGATAATAAATAAATAATAAATAATAAATAATAAATTACTAATTAAATAAACAAATCAACAAACAAATAAAAAAACCGACAAATAAATAAATCAACAAATATTATAAAATAAGTTATTAAAAATAAATTATAAAAAAACTAAATGTAACATAACTATTATATTTAGATTCAATTGCTCCAATTTAAGAAAGAAAGAAAAATCAGAGAAGCAAACAAAAAAACCTCAGAATCAACTAACGCTTCTGTTGCTTAGTGGACTATTACTGAAGTGTTTATTTTAGTTGTTAAAGTCAAGTTGATACCTCGATCAAATACTAGATCTTCAGGCAGAGTTTAAATATAAATTTTTAAAAATAAATTAAAAAAAAAAACCACGATATACAGCCATAAAATTATTTTTTTAAAAATTATATTAATATTAGGTGTTATTTAATTTATCTTTAAAAAAAATGTTGTATTTTTCTATCTTTTTAATTTTTTATAGAAAGAAAATATTTTATTTATATTTATAAAAAATTTCTATGACTTTTTGACAATATATTATATTACACCTTCATAATTATTTTACAAATTCATAATTATTAAAAAAATAAATATTATAAAAAAAACTTTATCAGAGAATGTGAACATCATTATTTTAAAAATGAAAATAAACAAAAATATCCTTATTAATTTAAATGAAAATTTCAAAAAAACGGCGAAAAATAAAATTTTTATTTAATTTTTTTAATTTTTTTAATTTTTAAAATAACCAACCTTCTTAGAACACCACCATTTTTAGATTTTTTAAATTTATAAAATGAAATAATCACCTATAAGCACATTCTAAGAAGACTTTTAAAAAATGATAAAAAATTATTTATTTTTATGTAAAGCTGCAAAAAACTATTTAATGGAAGAAAAAAATATTTTATTAAATCAAAAAATAAAATAAATAATTTAAAATAAACAAATAAATAAATATAATGGAATCAATTAATAATAATAACTCTCAAGATAAAGTTTGGTATATCACTGGTATATATTTCCCTATATTATTTAATATTTTTTTATAATAAAATACTTATATAGGTATTTCTATAGGCACTAGTACAGGTATTGGATTAGATTTATTAGAATTATTGTTAAATAATGGAAATAGAGTAACAGCTATTACACGTTCACCAGATCAAACAATTGATGAATTAAAGAAAAAGGGTACTAAAAACTTGGACAAATTATTAGCAATTAAAACTGATATTACTAACGATGAAAGTGTAAAAGAAAGTATAAAAAAAACCATTCAAGAACATGGTAGAATTGATGTAGTTGTAAATAACAGTGGCTATGGATTATTGGGTGCTGTCGAAGAGTTATCAGCTGAAGACATCCAAAAGATTTACGCAGTCAATGTATTTGGTGTATACAATGTATTAAGACACACAACTCCATATCTCAGAGCACAACGTTCCGGTTTAATTTTAAACATATCATCTTACCTTGGATACTCTACCATTGGCGGTAAATACTCTGCATATGAATCAACTAAACATGCATTGAATGGTATTACCCTATCATTACAAAAAGAATTGGAGCCATTTAATGTTTCAGTAGTATTAATTGGCTTAGGTGGTGTCCGTACAAGTTTTGTAAATGGTGGTAATTTTGCAGTAACCAAAAATTTAATCGAAGAGTATAACACAAACCAACTCATTGAAATGTTTAAAAAATACTCGCCATTCGCCAAAGGAGATCCAGTCAAAGTTGCTCAAACCATATATAATCTTTCAAATAGCAGCAAATTACCGGTATCATTAGACCTAGGTTCAGACTCATACCAAATCGCTAAAGCAACATTCGAAAATAGATTAAAAGGAGTTGAAGAAAATCATCAATTAACCTTGTCAACAGATTTTTAAAAGAAATAAATTTTATTTTATAATTTTAAATAAATTAATATTTATTTATAAAATATTAATTTATTTAAAATTATAAAATAAAATTTAAATAAATTATATAATATTAATTATATAAATAAATAATTATAATATATTTTTTGGTTTTATAGTTCTTTATTGAATGGCTTTTTTAGCACACAATAAAGAATTAATTATATGATATTTTATTTATTAATTTGTTTTTGAGGCAATAACCCATTTTGTTAAGGTAGCTGGTTGGAAACCTAAACCTCTCATTGCTTTTTGACTTGCTGCATTATCGATATTAATGTAACAGTATGGTTGAGTATATCCATTCTCTAACATTTTGATTATAATAAAGGATGATACTTTTTTAGCATAACCCTTTCCTCTATATTTGTCGTCTGTATATAAACTACCAATGCTACCATCAGTATAATGAATAATCCACGATGCTAATTCCCATTCGCCATTTTCATTTTTAACTCTATATGCACCTGAAATATTTGAACTACATGCTAATCTTAAAAAGTTTATTGATTCGTCTGATTTATATTTCCATCTATCGTCTTTTATTTAAAAAATAATTTAATATTAATATTATTAATAAAGATGAAAAACCAATAATATTACAAATGATACTTACTAACTTTTTCAGCATCTTCAATTGTTAATAAACTCTCGTTACCATCTAAATTCTTTTTTAATTCGTTGATTGTTTCTTGAACATTTGTAATTGGTAAAACTAAACTATCAAAAATTTCATCATCGATTCTAACTTGGTCAAAATATTTTCTTAATGATTCTATACAATATGATTCATTTTCTTTTAATAAACCTGCAAATACAACTCTTTCGCTGTAAAAAATATTAAAATATTAATATCTATTACTTTGTTCATTATGAATTTTAATATATAAATATTTACGTTTTTTTAAAATGTCTATCGATGCCAACTCTATTAATACCAACTCTATTATAAATTTCTTCCCAATTAATATTTGGGTGGTTTTTATATGGTGTTAAAAAACCATTTTCCCAATCTATTTTATCAAGGAATTCTGTTAAAACTTGAGAATTTAATGGATAGATGTTAAATTGTCCTCTATAAATGTCGATTAATAATACAATGGATGGGTCGGCTTCATTATCTACCAAGTTTAATGTATTTTGGCATTGAACTTGGTTTTCATATCTGAATAAATGGTGAAAACCTTTATTTTTTAAAATTATTAATAATTGTGTAGCTTGAGTATAATCAATTGGATTTAAAAGGTATTGTGGTTGTGGTGACATTATTGGTATCGTATAATGACAGTAGTTTTAAAAGAAAATAAAATAAAAAAAAACAAAAAAAAATAAAAAAAAAATAAAATTTTAAAAAAAAATAAAAAAAATAAAAAAAAATAAAAAATAAAAAACGAAAAAAAAAAGGTGGGTGCAATTTCATCTATTATCAGATATCTTGGGACAAACTGGGAATCCTAAAAAAAAACAAAAAAAAAATAATTGAACAAATCAATATTTTGTTCAAACACATAATATACCACATTTTAGCCGAAATAATTTTTAATTTCACAAGATATTTAAAATTAAAAAAATAATTTAAATAATGATTAACGTAAAGAGTAGCAATTTTTTTATTTTTAAAAAAAAAACACACAACACACCACAATAAATAAAAACTTTCACTGAATTATGATGATCAGTTTTTTAAATCCAAAATAAAAAAAATTATCTGTCTGGGCAGTGTATTGTTATTTTTATAAAAATTCCTAGGAATTTGAAAATAAATGAAATAAAACAAACAATAGTAAAAAAAAAAAATTAAAATATAAATAAAAAAAAAAAAAACACTTTTTATTTATAATTAATTTTTAAAATTTCAAGAAAGAATAAAAAAAAAAATAATTCAAATTCCAAACAACAAATAATGAGTATTATAAGTAAGTTTGGTATATAAATTTATCATTTTAATGGAATTTTGGTCATTTTAAAAATATTTAATCACTTTTTTTTTTATTTCGTAAATTTATATTTTCAAACAGATATTATTACAAATAGTTCATTGGGATATAATTCAAGAAACAATACAAATTATTCAAGTATTAGTTTCGGAGTTAAGGACTATAATAGTAACAATGTTCAAGTGTACAAAGATATTGAACTACCAAATTATGAAAATTCAACTAATATAATTTTTCCATATAAAAAAGGTTCAGTTTAAAAATAAAAAATAAAATAAAAAGTTACTACGTTGATTGGTAAATAAAGAAATAAAGAAATAAAACTTAAAATTATTATTTTTATTATTTATATTATATTATATTATATTATATTTTATTTTATTTTATTTTTTTAATAGAACTTATATTTATTTCCACTAAAACTTGTTGGATAAAAAATTAGTTTCTCTGTTTCATGTTGATAAAAATCATATTTTTCTATTGATTTTAAAAAATTAACATGATGATTTTGACTATAAATATTTTCTATGTTGGAGCTTTTCCTTTCTTTTCTTTTTTGATGTCTATAATTGAAAAACTTGTAATCGTGAAAGTTTGAGTTGATTTCTAAATATTGATTTTTTTTAAAACTTATATCACAAATTAAAGAATCCATATTATTTTTGTTTTCATTAATATAATTGATATTATTTTGTTTATAAAATGTTTTATATTTGAAATCTAATGTTTTAAATGATTTAATATCAATTGATTCCCAATCTTTAAGTGATAAAGAGTAATTGTTTTTTGTTTTGAATGATATTATTTTTAAATTTGGAAAATGAACTTGATTTGATGACAGTAAGTCGAATATTGATTGGATTGAAATTAGATAGTTTAGTGGTTTGAAGGTAATTTCTTCCAAGTTTATTGCATAACCACTAATAAAGGTTAAGAAGGTTTTTATGCTATCATCATTTGTGCCTTTAAAAGTTAATTTTGATAGATTTGAAAATTTCTTCATTTTTTCTATTTGTTCTATATTTTCTTCTTCTGGTGAGGGTAGCTTATACATATCATCAGAGGAAATACGATCTTTAATGATATATTTCTTTATTTTGAATAGATTATTCTCGAAATATTCATGTATGAAATCATTTGCTGGTATCGAGATAGATAGGATTGAATTTTCATAAAAATTCTTTAAAATGGGTACATACTGGTGCCTTTCAATTGACATTTTAAATTTGAAGGTTTTGAAACTACTAAAATATTCCAACTCTGATGAATAGTTTATTAAATCTAAAAAATCACATTTAATTATTATTGTTTTTAAATTTGGATGCTGTACCAAGTATATAAAATCACTGAATGGCGATTTGCAAAATGATCCATTAATTTCAATTGTTTCTAATGCTTTATATTCCAATAAGTTATTAAAGTTTTTATTATAGTTGAGCGAATATTTATCTAATGGTGTTGTTCTTATACTGGTAATATTTTCTACTTTAATTAATGACCATGGTTTATTTACTTGATCCTTTGGTAATACCTTCTCCATAGTTATAGTACACTGGTTATTGGTTAAATTTGACACATAACCAAAAAATTCTTTGTTGACCAAAGATAAATTTAATTTATCAATTATATTTTTATCATTCACTAAATATTTTAATATATATTTGATAATATATTGTGGTAAATAAACCATGTTATTATTATTATTATTATTATTTAAATTATGGGAACCTATTAATTGTTTTTTGTTGTATGTTTTATTATTGGTTATTAAATTATTAAATATTGAACTATTTGTTAAGTATTGATCTATTAGATTTATATTTAAATTGATTATTAAATCATCAAGAATTGATTTTATAAATTCTTGTTTAAGATAACTTGATTCTATCTTATAAAATAAAGATTTTAAACAATTTTCTATTGAATAGTTATTTTTAATTTTATAATATAAATTTAAATAAAGTGATTTAATGGATTCTATTTTGGTATTGGATGAATATGTTGGATTGTTGTGAGTAAAATGGGGTTCTAATTCACTACTATTATAAAATATTTCTTGGATCTCTTCCTTTGAAATTGTACTAAAGTTTACTATTAAATCAAATATTGAGTTTTTTGGTATGTTGGTGGGTGCTTTGAAATTCATTAGTTTGTTTGATAGTATTATAAGGTCAACGTATGGCATTGGTTTATTAGATACTCTTTTAAACCTGAATAGGTCCATAATATTCTCTCTCTCTAGGAACAAATACAGTGATGCACTTCTAAACATTCCGTTATCTAAAGCAAAGTTAAGATATTCTTTAAAAACTGGTTGCTGTTCTTGAAGTTGTTCATACTGCTTATTGGTCATAATAATGGACTCTATTATATTTTTAAATTTATTTTGAACACAATTGAATATTTCCAATAGACCCAACACATTTACATTATATTCTATTTCTCTATTGGGGGTTGTTATTCTATTCTTTCTTTTATTTAATATTTTAATTAGATACTCTAAATTATTTATTAGAATCTCTTCTTCAAATTCTATTATCATGCATCTACCCACTCTTGATGATAAAACTATATAGTTTATTCCATTTGTTACTCTTTTAAATGATTCTGTACTAGAGAGAAGTATAAGGCTTGAAGTATATTTTATAAATTTGTTTAAAAATAGGTCTTTGTTAAATTCCTGCTTGTCCATCTTTGGTCTGATTAATAAAATTGTGAAAAATAAATAAATAGTTTGAATATTTTTCTTTTTTTCATCTTCTATATAAGTGTATAGAGTCAATAAAATATCTTTAAATAACCCCTTTATTAATTTTAAATAAATATATATATATTAGTATATAATGATAGTATATAATATTGGGTATTTATATTTATATTATTAATATACTTACATTTTCATTTATAATATCTAAATTATTCTTTATCATCATATAGTAGTCATAATAGTCTATTCTATGTAGGACCATGTCATCTGTCAACAGCCTGTGGAATAGTGGATAGATTTCATTTGGTTTATAATTTGCATAAATATAATTTTGATAATTTTGAACAATGAGAAATTCATAAATTTCGCCATATCGTTCAAGTATTCTATTTTATATGTGTATAACAAGAAAATGAGATATTAGTGTTATATTTAATAATAATATTGTAATTCTGTGTTTGATAAACATACTTTTTGATTTTAATATATTCATTTTCTTGTATATTATACTGACCCTTTTTATTATATAAAAATGTTATGAAATTATAAAAAAATAATCTTAAATTTTCTTCTTCATTTTCGTTTTGGTCATTTTTGCTTGGTGAATCATTTGACGGGTGTTGCAAGTTATTTAACAACAAATAATCACAAATTTTGTTGATTTCAACATTGTTTGAATACCAATCTAAATTTATAAAATAAGAATTTAAATCTTCTTCCATTTATTATATATATATATGTTTATTTATATTTATTTTTACACTTTTAAACATTAAAAAATTTAAATTTTTTTTTTTTTAAAATTTTAAAAATTTATTGAAAAAATTTAAAATAAAAATTAAAAAATAAAAAGAAAAAAAAAAAAATAGAATAATCTAAAATTAGAGTTAATAAATTAAATCAAAAAAAAAAAAAATACAATTATAATAAAGAATATTTTATTTTTTTATGATATATTCTATGTTTAGATTTTTAAAGAGATAGAGAAAATAAATTTTTTGGTGGTCAAAAGATTTTGCATGGTGTTTTTTTTTTCGCTAAGTTTTTCTTTTTGAAAATGTAATAAATAAAAATTTTAAAATGATAATATAAAAATGATTATATGTTTTTAATGATTTATCAATTTAGGGTTCTTTATTATAATATAGTTTTAGAGTAAATTTAACAGCATCTTCTACGACGATGTCCAATATCGATATCAATATTGATAAAGTTAGTGTTACCACTACTGCATGGATTAAAGCATGGATTGAAACCACATGAACTGCCACCTAAGCTATTACCAAACCAAGCTGATTCATTATCAGAGAATGAGACACTTCCAGATGAGCTTAGCATTGATTTAGATGAGGCACCGTTAACTGGGTTCATTGATGAAATAGATTCTATATAAAAAAAATAAAAAATATATGTTTATATAAATATTTATAAATTTTAAAATATAGTTTTATTAATATTTACTAATAATTGACATTTTAAAATAGTGTTATCTTTTTAATATTTGGTTTGTTTTTTATTGAAATGAAAATTAATTTTTTTTTTTTTATACATTGGTAAATTTGTGTAAGATAAATCGTCTGAAGAAATAATTTATAACAACAAGATGATTTTATAAAATTAAATAAATACATTTTGTTAAAAAAATAAATAAAGAAAAGAAAAGAAATTATTTAATATAAAAAGGATTTAAATTTATTTAAATAAACATCAAAGCAAAAAAGAAAAGAGGTTAAAAAATTAAATGAAAGAAAAGTAAAAATTAAAATTATTTTTTATTTGTTATTATATTTCCCTAAAAAAAACCTATATAAATATAATTATTATTATTGCTTTATATTATTATTATAATTATTAATATTATCTATAAAACCTTCGATGTTGATTTGGTCTGGATTATTTCCAAAACCAGTGGAATTTAAGTTTGGTAATGATTGTATATTACCAATTAAAATTCTAACCCTTCTTCTTTGGGTACTTGATAAAACACCAGCTCTATAACCAATAAGTGTCTTTGCTAGCTTTTGACACTTACATTCAAAATTGGAATGTAATCCCTCGGTGATGACAAGATTACATTTATTGCACTTCATATCCTCGTCTCTATGAAGTTCATTTTGTGGGGTTGATGGTGGTGGTGGTGGTGGTGGTGGGAGCTCAGTTGAGTTACCATTGGCAGATTCATTTGGCTGTCTGAATCTTTCTCTTCTTCTTTCTATTTCAAGTAAACTCCTGACTTCAGCTCTTCTTGTACCTTGGTTGGGTTGTTGGAATCTTGCTAATCTATTTTCTAGACCTACCAAAATTCTTATTCTTTCTGAGTTATCCATATTATCCTGTAATAATTATAATTTATAAATATGTTTTTTTTTTAATAGGTTATAAAAAATTATTATTATTTGTAAAAAAATTATTATTGAAATAAAAAAAATAAAAAAACTATAAAGTTGTTGGAATAAAAAAAAAAAAAAAAAAAATAAATTATAAATTAAAAATTATAAATTATAAAAAATATAAAAAAAAATAAAGAGAACTGTTTGAAAATTATAATAATAAAAAGGAAAAAATATAGATTTTCTTAAGATTAAGTATATGTACCTTTTTTATTTATGATTAATAATTTTTTTTATTTGATTTGGATTTTTTATTTAATTTTCTTTCAAATGATACCCAAAACATTATATTTACATTTGAAAAAAAAATGGTTTAACAAAAAAATTAAAAAAAAAAAGAAAAAACTTATTTATTATAATCATTCATCATTATTTAGAACTGAATTAAAACAAATAGGAATAATAATTATTTAAATAATGATTATTAAAAAATATTAAAAAAAAAAAAAAGATTATTATTCATATCATCATTGAGTGATGTAAACAGCAGGGAAAAAGATCGACCACGAAATAACTTACAAGAAAATGCATTTCATCAGAACAGCAATTATTTAATAAAGAAGAGGGGTGGTTAGATTATTTTTTAATAAAAAAGACTAAATATTATTAGATTTTAATCAGTTTAGGGTTGTTTATTTAAATACATATGTTATTTAGTTTTAGAGTAAAATTAACAACATCTTCTACGACGATGACCAATATCGATATCAATATTGATAATGTTAGTGTTACCACCACTGCATGGATTAAAGCATGGATTGAAACCACATGAACTGCCACCTAAGCTATTACCAAACCAAGCTGATTCATTATCAGAGAATGAGACATTTCCAGATGAGCCTAACATTGATTTAGATAAGGCACCGTTAACTGGGTTCATTGATGAAATAGATTCTATGAAAAAAAATAAAAAGTATATGTTAATATAAATATTTATAAATTTTAAAATATAGTTTTTTTAATATTTACTAATAATTGACATTTTATAATAGTGTTTTTATTTTTTTAATATATTGTTTATTTTTAATTGAAAATTTTTTTTTTTTTTTTATATATTGATAAATTTGTGAAAGATAGTTCTTCTGAAGAAATAATTTATAACAACACATATTTATAATTTTTAAAATAATTTAATAAATTTAAAATTAAAAAAATTAAATAAATCAATAATTATTTAAAAAATTCACCCTGTTTATTAAATTATAAAAATTTTCATTTTAATCTATAATTTAACATAAAATAATATAATAATCAATCTCTAATAAAAATAATTCTAATTATTATTAAAGATTATATATTTAATCACCACAAAACTAGGTTACATAGAGAAGACACAAAAAGTTCAACAAGATCTTTCTTTAGGTATTATATTTTGGATAAAGAATATGTTCATAATTGTGTATTTAAAAAAGAGATACTTCCTTTTGACACTATTTAGTATCATCTTTAATATCTGTAAGTAGTAGCAATATTAATAAAAACATTAAATATTCAAATACTAATATAACTTTCATTATTAGAATTCATCTATTTTATCATTATCACAAGAGTTTAAGGTAAAATCAAATGATGAAGATAACTATGGAATTACAAATAAAGGAAAACCAAAATAGTGGGGTAATTCTTACACTTTTAGATATTTCAGCTACAACAGTAATACCTGCATCTTTTCCTGCACCTATAGCATAAAATAACATTAAAATAATAGTTCACCATCTTTGAATACTTCAAAAGGTATCAATGATAATGGTTCAAGTACGCCATTTCAAGTAAAATTTATCGAATACTCTTGCTTCTGTTGATATAATCGATCTAGATGATAAGCAAACTACGAAAATCAACA